AAACATTATAAATCGAACATATCCACTTGGAATAATAGAGTCCAGTAGTAATTGAAGAATACAACTGTTGTAGTGAAATCGTCATAGAAAGGAAAAGTGGTCAGCCCCAAACAGCCTGAGGAAACTGGCTACCATTGGCCCTCGTGACGTTTGTTAGGTCACCGCCAAACTTGACTTGAAGTTGTAGAATCTCTACTTTTTACAACTCATTTACTTTCTTTTTTTATACGAATTCTATTAAAGTTAACAGATCTCCGCATTTCATACCCCGGCTGATGGCTTGCTTCCCCAATGCACAGGCCTACCATGTCGGTATTGGGCGACCCCACAATAGTTCAGTGCCATCATCGGCGCAAACACTCTCAAGAACACCCCTTATCCCAACCATCTCCCCGGCCCCTCCGCAAAACAATCTCCATCCCAGCTGTATCCTCGCTCGTGAGGGATTCGTGGACTTGGGCCGGTGACACTCTGCATACGTACCGTGATGGTCTCTCCAAGGAACAACGGAAAGAAAGAGCGGACATCGAGGACCGCAAACAAGTCCTATATCTGAAAATAAAGAATGTAAGTACATGCATGTGGTGTACCTGGGACGGGCGAGCGCATCTGCAGAGTGACCCTTTCTAACCCTTGGGCTGCAGGCTGTGTCGTACGAGGAATGGCGAAGTTGCGCCATTGAACTGGATGAACTAGAGGACAACAATGCCTGGAAGCAGACGCTCGAGTCCGCCGAATATGATCCTTGCTTGGTACAGGATCGATTGCGACAATTGGAAGATGCTCGGATCAGCTGCGACGTAAGCCGGATGCTGTTTCTGGTCCGCACTGCGCTGAGTCGGGACCTGGCGCATATGAGCAATGCCTCTCTCTACCGCCATTCGCATATCGGCACCAAGAATTTGATTGATAGGTATATCACCACTGCTTTGGAGACAATCGCCACACTGGTGGATTTGTCGGTGCACGGTCGCTGCGATGGACTGGAGCTGAAGTATATCCTGGACCAGCTGCTGGCAGCTCGACAGGCATTCGGTCGCAGTGCGCTCCTCTTCTCCGGAGGTGCCACTTTTGGTATGACCCATATTGGGGTTCTGAAGGCCCTCTATGAAGCAAACATGATTCCTCGAATTATCTCAGGTGCATCTGCTGGTAGCATTGTGTGCGCGGTCTTTTGCACGCGCACAGATGATGAACTGCCGGCGCTTTTGGATACCTACGTACATGGGGATTTTGATGTGTTCAATGAAAAGGGCCAAGAGGAAAATATCCTGCAGAAGATGACTCGTTTTTTGAAGTTTGGATCATTTCTTGACATATCCCACTTGGCGAAGACTATCAGGAACTGGCTAGGTGATATGACCTTCCAGGAAGCATATAACCGCACCCGCAGAATCCTGAACATCTGTGTCTCAAGTGCCGGCATGTATGAGCTTCCACGGCTGTTGAACTATATTTCTGCGCCCAATGTGTTGATCTGGTCTGCTGTGTAAGTCTCCCCTTTCCTTCCTCTCAACGCATTTCTAACATCTCTCAAGCGCGGTATCATGCTCTGTTCCCTTTGTGTTTAGGCCATTCACGTTGATGGCTAAAGATCCGTTGACAGGGGAACCAGTCCCGTGGAATGACCTTCACAAACAGTATATCGATGGCTCTGTCGACGGAGATCTGCCCATGACACGTTTATCAGAGATGTTTAACGTGAACCATTTCATTGTCTCCCAGGTGAACCCCCATGTGGTACCATTCCTTCCAAAGGAAACAGGCCCACAGGACGAGGCAAACGACGGCCCTTCATTCATCCCTCGATGGATGAACACGATGACACACCTTGCCAAAGATGAGGTGCTGCATCGGATGAACGTCCTGTCGGAGCTTGGAGTCTTCCCAACATCAATGACCAAGTTTGCCTCGATCGTAAATCAAAAATATCATGGAGACATCAACATATACCCAGAACTCATTTCGTCCAACTTTCCGCGACTCCTGGAGAATCCGACAACGGAATTCATGCTTTCAGCATGCTTAAGTGGTGAGCGGGCGACGTGGCCAAGACTAAGCCGTATCCGAAACCACTGCGCCATTGAACTGGCACTCGATAATGCCATTCAAAATATGCGGGCCAGGGTAGCTTTCAGTCCGAGTCAGGTTGATCTACGTATGCCAAACCGTAGCCGTCACTTGGTTGACTCGGCAGACAGCAGTGGAAGGGGACGTTATCGCGACAGACGAAGAGGATCCCACAGCCCTGAACTGGAAAAGAGGCACTTGGGAGGACAAACACGGCATCAACCAAACCGGGAACTGAAAAAGACACCAAGTACTGTTTCACTGGAGGATCCGCCTCTCTTGCAATCGAGTGAGGCAATCCCCATGTCAACCCAACCAAGGACCCACCGCCGTACATCCTCAGTATCGTTCAACAACGGAGCGATATTCGACATCGGGTCAAGCAGCGACGACGAGCTCGGGCGATCATACATGCTTCGTCCCAAACTCGCAGGCCACCGAGCGTCGTCGGAGTCATCTTCATTCGATGGAGCACATGCGAGTCACGGACCCCATAGCCCCGGTCGGTCCCGACGATCCTCATTCTCTTCTGGTCCGGCCTACAATTCTTCCGTTACGGCTCGTCACAGTTCCTCGAGGCAGGCGTATCCGCCGTCGGCTCGAGATCTCTCCATGACCGTACCACCTTCGTCCCGCCATCTGCTCAGTATGACTCCAACACCAACAGTCCACCCGAATTCGCCTGACCCCCTAACGAGTAAAAATCGGCATTGAAGAATATACGATTAGCCGTGTATCATACTCCCTCCGTTCCTCACATATTTAGGAGTCGTGAGCCGCAGACTCCGGCCTCTCTGACAAATACAAGATTACACCTCAGGTCAAACTAATTTCATGCCCCGTGCTCCGGACGATGTAAGACACTCGGACCGGAAGGCTTTTTGATTTTTGCGGACTCTGTGGTCCTGTATATCTGCGGCCAAGCATCCTGCATCTCTTGCGCGATTATCTTTCCTCTGTTTGTCCATTCAATCTGAAGTCCTCAATATTAGACCATCCCCTGTGTATCCCTCCTTAAGGTTCTGTTTTGAGACATCCAATCCGCAGGATTCGTGGAGTTTGCCTTTGTCCTTTCCATTTCGTTTTTGCTATCTACAACATATGAGATGCATACGGCGGTTTTCTGTATATAGCGGGGAAATTTTCTACGTACACACCGTGGGGCATTGAATCCCCAGATGAAATGGAGTTTGGGTTTAGACCTTCAATCGACTACTCATTTTTAAGCTACTTAAGGATATATTATTCTACATTCAAGGGGTGATATAGGCTCCACAGTCAGCGCTAATATCCCTAAAACCAAGCTGTTTTCCAGCTCAAATCCCGAGAACATGCCGTTGAGTGAGCTTAAGAGTCACAAAGGATGCTTGGCGCCCTCGGTGTACAGCCAACTAAAGAGAAGGTAGTGGAGTACAGAGGCAAATCGATATCAGGAAACAATCGGCAATGAGCATTGATGGGTCATGGATACATGGTTTACCTATCCCGTACACGTGTCTGTGTTGTTAATACTAGTCGATATGCCGATAGATTGAGGCTAAACACGAAATAGGTCCATATTTTATCGTGATATCCATGTTGTTAGGTGTTTTAAGGGCAAAGTAGAAGTGTCCATTACCAACGTTGCTTTATGTCACGGGGTCCACTGTGGGCCAGCTAGACCCCATTCATCCCAGGGCTGACGACGACTCGGCCATCAACTAATGTTCCAGGCCATTTCCAATATTGTGGCCTGTATCTCGATGTTCTCGAACTTCTATACGGGGTAGAAACAGGAGATAATATCTGTGTTTCAGTGGAACACATCACAGCTCAACTTGGGGGAGACCATCATTGAGATATTCTGAGCGCATGTCCATTACAGATCCAAAACCAGCCTACGGAGCAAATGTTCCCAATTCAGAAAATATTGGCTCGAAATTGATCCACTTCGCCGATCAGGCCGTAACCATTGGCCCTCACTTATCAATCAGTGCCTCTCCCAACCGTTTCCAGCCACCTTGAGTCCACCCTCGTCCGTGGCACAACCAGCGCACCCTGACACAGGCTGTGTATCAGCATCCTTCCTGTATCAGCATCCTTCCTGCAACGTACGCCGTGGCGAAATCAACACAAATGAAACGAGTACCCAGCCATTCTGTTACAGCCAAAAAGCCTAACGACGCTGGAAAAGGAGAGATGAGCAAATCATCTCTGACTTGATGTGCTACAGCCAAAACAAGGGAGTAGCTTGCGCCAGACGCCTTGAAGCCGAGTGAGAACTGGCTTCGCTCTCGGCCGTGCCAGGTTGCGAGCCTGTCAGGTAGGACGCTTCCTTCGAGGTGAAGCGTTTAATACGGTCAGAACATCCCGACAATTCATCGATTTGACTTTTATGCTATTCTGCACACGGAAGATGATCGTCGCACTATTGTTTGGTACCTGGCTGTGGCGTTTGTACCGTCGATACTTGCCTCGTCGAATGTATCAGAACCACTCTTTACTTTTTTTTGGCGCGTTGGCTGGCCAGCGAAGGATCAAAGGAAAATACCTCAGCCCCAGGCTATGCACCTCTGCCCATACACAGGTACTTCGTGCCTGGTCCCTAACGACCCTAAGGTCCCTCAAGTCAAGATCGACACATCCATCTCTACCGTTTTAAGGTACTATCGTCGTCCAGCCAGTCCACTTTGCGGGCTGCCCAGCCCCTGATGAGGCAATCAGGCTGAAGTCATGCCGCGATCACGGAGTCCACTTCGGCAGGACCAAGCCCCCAAACCAACAAGCTTGACAAATTGGCAGCCTTATAAACCCGTCCCAGGCCCTACGAGATTTTTCTCTAAACTATAAAGTCCATCTTTGATATACCATCCATATATACGAGTCTAACTTTCATCCAAATTACTCCATTCTTTACTTTAATATTTTCCAATTAATCCATACCAACCACAATGAAGTACACCGGCATCGCTGCTATGGGCATGATGGGTTGCGCCCTCGCCCTGCCCCAGGGGCCCCCTCCTTTCTCTTGGGTCCCCAGTGATGTGTCCACCCCATCCAGCGGCGTCCCCAGCGGCACTCCCACCGCCACTCCCACCGGAGTCCCCTTCGACAAGCGCCAGTTCCCCAACGGCCCTCCTAGCGGCTTCCCCAGCGGTATGCCCAGCGGTATCCCCAGCGGTATTTCCAGTGGCTTCCCCAGTGGCTTCCCCAGCGACTTCCCCGCGCCCACTGGTCTTCCTTTCGAGAAGCGCGAGTTTCCCCACGGACCCGGCCACCAGGGCCCTCCCTTCGATGGTCCTCCTCACAACGGACTTGCTCCCAACAGCGTCCCGACTCCCACCGTCACTCCTTCCTCGGGATTCCCCACCCCTACCGGATTCCCCACCGGCTTCCCCAGCGGATTCCCCAGCGGATTCCCCAGCGGATTTGAGAAGCGTCAGTTCCCCACGGACCTCCCCTTCTCCATCCCCAGCGGAATTCTGAGTGCCTTCCCCTCCGGCTTCCCCACCGACCTGCCATTCTCTATTCCCTTCGGGAAGCTCCAGGAGTTCTCCACTGGACCTTCTCCCACTCCCTTCCCTCAGTAAATACTGAGTAGCTGAGCGACTGAGTGACTCCTCGCCATCTATTGCTGCGCTGGAATTAGTCTTGGACTTGTTATATGAATTGATTTTGATGTCACACCCAAGACGTCTTTCGCACTTTATACATATTGTACAGTGGGGCGAGGATTCAATGTATTGGGATTGATTGACTCAAGTGCCCAGTACTGTATATTATACAAGATATATGGGCTACGGTCTGGGATAGATTGCTTGGAATGTTCTTTTTTGGTTCGATTCGGGTCTGCGAGATGATTTATTATTTACGAATTACACGCAGGCTCTTTTGTCAGTTTCAATATTTAGATTTATTCTTTACGTCCACCTTGGAATACACACTCGTTTGGGTTATTGAACCTTTTTTAGAGGGTTGATATGGTGGTATAGATGGTTGGAATAGTAGATCACATGCTTCGGACCTTAGGGCTAAATATCTCGGACGAAATCAGCCATAGTACCAAAACCATTGCATTTGAAAGCCGGCTATGGATGGGAGCTTTCTTGGCTTTATACTCACAGGCGCAGGTGGATTTGGCTACGACTTGTGCAGCCATCTACTAAACTACCTGCCAAATTTCTGTCCTTAGTTCTTTAATTTACGGTATAACTAGTGATTAAGCCTTATGAATAAGCACACCCCATATAACTTACATACACTGTTAGTATATACTATTATATCTCCAGGTATATACTTTTCTAGCACTCACGCTTACCGAAATTATATCTTAAACATGCCCCACGAGAAAATGAGGTCAGACTCACTCTATTTACCTGATTCCTATCAACTGCAGCCACAGAAACAAGCAAGAAAGAGAGGAGATCGTGGTGTATGGTACTGCAAGAGACTCATAATCTATTTCCATACAACGATACTTCAATTTAGTTTAGATAACCTTACAAGACTATTAGGTAGGGCGACACGCAACTTATAGGATTGTATGTGTTTAAATAACCCGATGCAAATACTGGAAGTCTTATGTGTTTCTAGTTTGGATTGGTTATTTGGAGACCTCCATATTTGATCACCCTTGGTCCATCATCCCCATTAGCCAAGAAACAGGGGTAAGGAGTTACACAATAATACTACTAGTAGTAATTGAGTGTTACAAAACACGCCTTTCACGCCAGCTCTACAACTATGGATGGAAACCTATGTGCCTTTTGGTAGTGTCCAACAAATGCAGATCCTTTCCATTGAACTATGAGCGTATATTTGGAAGCTAATTAGCACTAGATGTACATTGTATGAGATAACATCCCGGCTTTTATTAGCTTGGTTGGGGACCTCTCTGTTGTACATGTAATAACTACCATTTCTTGTCCTTAAATTTAATATAACCTCCATATATTCCATGCCCTTCGGCGTTAGCTACCTGGAATTATTAGCTAACGCCCGAGGGCATTCTCTCATTTTTCCTCTTTTGTTTTACGTACCTAGAGCGTGATCTGTCGTTCGTTCTCGGGTTTGACCATTGTTTGTTTTTTATTTCTTTGTCTCAACCACCCTGCCTTGTTACTGTCTCATTTGTGTATGTTCTGATTTTATCAGGAGTACCTAGGTACGTACTTTCCATGGATGATATCTGGGATTAAGGTTAAAGGTGGGGCACATGTGGGGACCTCGGGAAGCAATGCAAGAAAGAGCCTCAAGTGACCCGGCGTATGAATGGTATATGACGGACAGATGGCTGAAACCTCATTCATGTGTAGATAATCATGTATATATTTCTGTGGTTCCTGATTGACCACCGATGCCCTGCAATCTGAAGGATACTGCATTTCTACTGTAGTCTGATTCCTATTAAAACTTCACACGTGGTTATACTGAGGACCCTATCAACTATAGTCTCCTAGAGAATCTATTCATCTCAGCTTTAGAGATAATTCAAACCAAAATCCATATGAAGTCCCGAGAAGTGACGTGATCCGCACGTACTTCAGACGCTTAAGGAGGCGAGGTACTTGAGATTGTCTGTCCATGTCTGTAGCTTTTCTCGACGCACTGCAGTTACCGCGAGTAAACGACCACTACGAGCCCCCAAATTATGGAGTCTTACCAACAAGTTAAAGATGAGCATGTTATTGGAAGGAAATCTAAGGCATAGCTAGTAGTAAGGAGGGAAAGCAGCGAAGAGGCGAGTGCCTTCATCATGTGTTGCCTGCTCAGAGTTCGCCCGATTGAGTTCGACAACCATTCAAGAGATTGCAGGCCATTGTAGATGTTCTCATTGCCTTGAAAGGAACCCCTGGGCTATCCACGTTCTCTTAGCGTTTTGGTGGCCGACCCTATGGCCCATTCGCGACGTCAAGTTCTAAGACATGAGGGTTCTAGAGTAGGATGAGTGGAGTTGTAACTGCAAAGTGAAAGTAATGTCAGCCTATGAACCCAATAGACAGAGAAGGGGCCTGTCACCTGCGATGTCTCATCGGCGGCGGAGGGTTAAACTCGGCTGTAGTCAAGTCCCAAGAGGCAGTGTCTCGAGTAGCTACTCTAGGCTGCTATAGGTTCTAAACCGAGTGTTCTTGCTTGTGTATTTGAGATACAGACAGTGACAATCGTTTGTTTGTGCCCCCGGGGGCTCTAACATGTACCGTGTTGGGTAATATATTGCATTGGTACGGTACCCACAAACGAGTGCTTGTTGATTTTGTTCCCGCGTGTTTGTTCCAAAATCCAGAGGTATAAAAGCCTCACCAGATCTTGGCTTCTCCATCTTTCTTTCTTCTCTTCTACACATACCATCATTGAACCATCACCACACAAATCAACACATCAATCATCCAACTATCCACAAGCAAACATGGCATCCGCCAAACCAAATACCAAGGCCGAGAAGGCCAAGCTGAGCGACGAACAGTTCCTCCTAACCCTTCTCGATAACTTGAAGGTTGGTTATCCGCCACTTGATAGATAATGGCTGGAATACAGATTATACTAACTAAAACCTCACTATAGGTCGATCACGGGGCTGCCTCTAAGGCGCTCGGCATAACGAAGGCCGCATGTCGGATGCGATTTATCCGGCTGCAGCAAAAGCACGGGTTCAAACCCAAGGGGAAGGGGTCCCCACGCCGCAAGCAGGCACCAGCTCCTATTGAGAAGGAGGCGAACGACAATGAAGCCACCGAGAATGACGCCAGCAAGGACTAAGATACCGGGTACGCTGGCCACAACTATGGCATTGAGAACGATTAAGTCTTGATTGAGAAGAAATTGGGAGGGGAAAACAATGTGCAACGAACAATAAAAGAGATTTCTTACTCTCACTTCACAATTTTCTTACTTCTGACTCTCCTAAGGCTAGATCTACGTATAAACTTGTAACGTCGTAGTCTATCAATATCTACCTAGGTAGTTCAAAAGATAGTAATATAGAACCCTAATAGTAGACTACGATTCCCTTATATTGTAAGACGTAGTAAGACGTAGTAAACTAGGATAATCTATACTTACTTTTTAGACCCTATTTTCTATTTCGTCGATAGATGTTTGCTTATTAATACCTAATAGGAGAGGCCTTCATTCGGCTAGTTTGCCTTTAAAAGGCTTAGTTATCCTCTTTCTTTTTCTTTATTTCTTAGTAAGTCTTCGTGAAGACTTTATCAACCTAGCTAGTAAATAGCTTCACAATTGGCCAAGAGCCCTACTCTATGATTCTATGCCTTTCTTGTTTCTATTTAAGATCTGACTTCTCGGTATTATTATCATGAAAAATTTACCTTCCAACAACGAGAATGGCTCCTCCCGACTTAAAAGTAAAGGCCGGGAAGAATCCCAAGGCCACTGATGAAAAGTTTCTGTTGACCCTTCTGGAAAATGTGAAGGTTGGTTATCCGCTACTTGATAGATAATGGCTGGAATACAGATTATACTAACCTCACTATAGGTCGATCACGAGACTGCCGCTAAGACTCTCGGGATAACCAAGGCAGCATGTCGAATGCGTTTTATCCGGCTTCAACAGAAGCACCGGTTTAAGACCAAGGGCAAGGGAACCCCACGCCAGTAATAGGTACCGGCCCCTAATAGAGAGGAAGCGACCCATATCAAGGAGTCCAGTACGGCAGAGAATGAGGCTACCGAGGATACCGAGGATGAGACCATAGGGAACTAAGATACCGGGGTACGCTAGCCACAGCTGTGGTATCAAGTACGATTAAGTAGGAGGGGGACACCATACATAACAATGAGAGAGATTTCTTACTCTCACTTCATAGTTCTCTTACTTCTAACTCTCCTAAGGCTAGATCTACGTGTAAACTAGTAACGCCGTAGACCATCAATATCTACCTAGATGGTTCAAAAGATAGTAACGCAGAACCCTAACAGTAGACCACGATTCGTCCTATGCTGCAAGACGTAGCAAACTAGAGCAATCTACACTTGCTTTTTAGAGCCTATTTTCTATTTCGTCAATAGATGTTTGCTCATTGATGCCTGACAAAACAGGCCTTTATTGGGTCAGTTTGCCTTTAAAAGGCTTAGTTATCCTCTTTCTTTTTCTTCATTTCTTAGTGAGTCTTCACTCATCAATCTAGCTAGTAAATAGCTTCACAATTAGCTAAGAGCCCTACCGGACCTACCCTATGATTCCATGCCTTTCTTATTTCTATTCAAGATCTGACTTCTCGGTATTATTATCATAAAAAAATTACCTTCTAATAACGGGAATGGCTCCTCCCGACTTAAAAGTAAAGGGCCGGGAAGCATCCCAAGGCCACTGATGAAAAGTTTCTATTGACCCTTCTGGAAAATATAAAGGTTGGTTATCCGCCACTTAATATAATGGCTGGAATGCAGGTTATACTAACCAAAACCTCACTATAGGTCGATCACGAGATAGACTCGAAATTTCTCGGGATTTCTAAGGCCGTATGCCGCATACGGTATATCCGTCTTCAACAGAAGCACGGATTGAAAAGCAAGGGGAAGGGGGCCCTACGCCGCAAGTAGGCACCAGCTTCTATTGAGAAGGAGGCCAACGAGAATGAGGGCACCGAGAACTGAGATACCGGGGACGCTGGCCATAGCTGTGGCATCAAGTACGATTCGATTAAGTCTTGATTGAGAAGAAATTGGGAGGGTGAACACTATATATAACAATGAAAGGGATTTCTTACTCTCACTTCTTCTAACTATTCTAAGGTTAGATCAACGTGTAAACTTATAACGTCGTAGTCCATCAATATCTGCCTAGGTGGTTCAAAAGATGGTAACACAGAACCCCAACAGTAGACCACGATTCACCCTATGTTGCAAGATGCATCATACTGGGGCAATCTACACTTGCTTTTCAGAGCCTATTTTCCATTTCGTCGATAGATGTTTGCTCATTGATGCCTGACAGAACAGGCCTTAATTGGGTCAATTTGCCTTTAAAAGACTCAGTTCCTCTTTCTTTTTCTTCATTTCTCAGTGAGTCTTCACTCATCAACCTGGCTGGTAAATAGCTTCACAATTTGCCAGGCCTTACCCTATGATTCCATGCCTTTCTTGTTTATATTCAAGATCTGACTTCTCGGTATTATTATCATGAAAAAGCTACATCTGCACCAGGCTTGATGGAATCGTTAAGTGTGGCCCTCAAAGGTATGGAAGCTAGGCAATATCCAACAAAGTCTGTGGGCTCTCCTTTTGTCTTTGGTGGCGGCTTACATGTTTAATATCAGGTCTTGCTTTATATTAAGTGTGGATTTCTCAAGATCACCATGACCATGGCACTAGAGAGCGATCTCCTGCCATCAGGGTGCGCATATTTAACTATGCCCTTGTATTTAACCCGGGCCCCTGCCTGTTCGGATTGCAACCTACCCTCCTCGAACGATGCCGCCCAAAGTCAAAGTTGAAACACACGGCCTCGAGTGTCATTTACTCGGGCAGTTTGTCTGGGTAGTTGTGTGGTTGACTTGGTTTCTTTGACCTTGGTAGCCTTACAAGGATTCCCTCGCTGTGTTCGTTCTCGCCCTAGCTTGACCCGCCTTGCAAATGGAACACCAACTCAGAGAACCTAAAGACTTCAACAATTGATTCAAAGACTTTGCGCCGGACAATTTCCGAATCAAGCGATTGCAGCAAAAGAAAGTACACTGGAGCTATACCGGTTGTCATTACGGAAACCTTTCTTTCAAGTGAGCAACTAAAGGAATCTTAAGCCCAGAGTCGTCACTGTCGTGGGGAGCTGTCAGGTTGGGCTGTTAACCTAAATATATATATACTGGAAACCCGAACGGTTATTTTTACAAAATTGGGGGTTTCGGTGTCCTTCCCATACCGAGAAGCAATGACACCAAGAGCAAGTCCGCCAGCAAGATCAAGTTCAGGGAGGAGGTCTTTCATCATCACTTGTATCTATTCGTTTACATCTTCCACCTCACCGTCTCAATCAACAAACAAAGCTTGACCATGGATCCAGCCAACTTCAAGCTAAATATAAATGTCAAGGCCCCGACCAACGATGAGACTCAAGTCTTCGCGCTTGTACTTGATGCTTGTATATAAAGTACGGCTTCAAGAAGAAGTGGAAGGGGACCCCACCACGAGACTGCTTTTAAGTGTCTCGGAATCTCAAAGGCCGCATGCCGAATGCGGTTCATCCGTCTTCAACAGAAGTACGGATTCAAAGAGAAGGGGAAGGGGACCACGAGACAGGCTCTAAGGCTCTCGGGATCTCAAAAGCAGCGTGCCGAATGCGCTTTGTCCGGCTCCAACAGAAGTACGGATTTAAAACGAAGGGGAAGGGGACCCCACGCCGACAGCAGGCACCGGCCTCTACCGAGAAAGAAGCAACTCCCACTAAGGAGTCCAATTAGAGGAGACTCGAGCCTTTCATAACAACCTCACTATCTCAGCCAACGAACGAACCTTTATCATAGCTCCTATAAACTCGAAGACCAAAGGCAAAGAACCCGTTAAGTCTTCAGCAAAAGGTGCGAAGGCCAGTGACGAAAAGTTATAGGGCTCGTTTCTGCCTTTCACATGAATACTATGAAGGTGGCTATTGGCCTATTGCTACTTGATAAGCATAAAAGCCTCACTAGATCTTGGCTTCTCCATCTTTCTTTCTTCTCTTCTACACATACTCTCATTGGACTTTCTTTCAGATATAACACCATTGGGTATATCCAAACACCATCTAACTCTGAAACATCACCACCAAACATCACCACCAAACATCACCACCAAACATCACCACCAAACATCACCTCCAAACATCACCTCCAAACATCACTTCCAAACATTACCTTCTAATAACGAGAATGGCTCCTCCCGACTTGAAAGTTAAGGCCGGGAAGCATCCTAAGGCTAGTGATGAGGAATTCCTATTGACCCTACTTAAGGATATGAAGGTTGGTTATCCGCCACTTGATAGATAATGGCTAGAATTTAGATTATACTAACCAAAATCTCACTATAGGTCGATCACGAGACTGCTGCTAAGGATATCGGGATAACCAAGGCCGCATTCGCATACGCTTTATCCGGCTGCAGCAAAAGCACGGCTTTAAGACAAAGGGGAAGGGGACCACGAGACTGCCTCTAAGGCTCTCGGAATATCCAAGGCCGTATGCCGAATGCGGTTCATCCGTCTTCAACAGAAGTGCGGATTCAAAGAGAAGGGGAAGGGGACCACGAGACTGCTTCTAAGTCTCTAGGAATTTCAAAGGCCGTATATCGAATGCGGCCCATCCGGCTTCAATAGAAGCACGGATTTAAGAAAAAGGGCAAGGAAATACCACGCCGACAGTAGGCACCGGCCTCTATCGAGAAAGAAGCAACTCCTACCAAGGAGTCCGATTAGAGCAGACTCGAGCCTTTCATAACAACCTCATATCTCAGCCTTCACCATGGCTCCTGCCAACTCGAAGACCAAGGCCGAGGCGCAGTCTAAGGCCAAAATACCATCATTGGACCTTTACCACACAAATCAAAACATCATCCAACTTTCCACCAACAAACATGGCCTCCGCCAAACCGAATACCAAGGCCGAGAAGGCTAAGACAAGTGACGAAGAGTTCCTACTAACCCTACTCAAAGATATGAAGGTTGGTTATCCGCCACTTGGTGGATAATGGCTGGAATACAGATTATACTAACTAAAACCTCACTATAGGTTGATCACGGGGCTGTCCAAGGCTCTTGGAATATCCAAGGCAGCATGTCGAATGCGTTTTATCCGGCTTCAACAGAAGCACGGGTTTAAAACCAAGGGGAAGGGGTCCCCACGCCGCCAGCAGGCACCGGCCAACAACGAGGAAGCGACGAATCGCATCTAGATTCCGATCCTACCTAGCCAAGCACCCAGCAATCCACCTGGGAAGCCACGTTCACCCGATTCTCTCACTTAGGATCGATTAACCCGCAGAAATCAATAAAATATACAATTTTTTTTTCTTTCACATTGAAATGCAGTTACTATAACTATGTAAACCAGAATTATATGGGGGTGGTAGAGTACCTATATGGCAGAAAACACTGCATTTGGCAGAAATGTATGGCAGAATTCAGTGTCGCACCCAATTGGGAAGGCGGTACTAAACTTTCAGGGTCCTCCCCTACATTTAGTCCCAGCACACACTAACTAGGTAGTTTCTTCTCTCTCCTAGCGCAATGCAGAGATTTTACCAGCGTACCCTCTCTCTAACAGGTTATGAGTCCTTTGCCGTTGAAGCCTCTACATAACTGTATGCTGAACGCCTCATCTTTCCTCCGATCCTCGGTGTTTTGCGTCGCACCACTCCACTGTGGACCCTCGATCAGAGCTTTTCACTGGTTGGATTCTTCGACCACCCCACCGTCCAGTGTATTCACTACCTCGGTAGTTCACTGTATCTACTACCTAACTAGGTACTCTATTACCTTAGTAGTACACTATAACTATGCAGTTTACAATTGACCGTCGTTTCACCCCGGCCGTTCGATCAGATTTGTCGACCGTTCAATACCCCACCGTTATTAACGAGCACCACGGTGTAGAAGAAGACGTCATAACATCCACACATTTTAAAATTGACATTCCTCACGGCATTAACCTTCCGTCCGACGATCCCCTCCCCGATCGAGGTACCTTCGATTTACCCGGTGATGACGATGACAATGTTGAAATGGCGGGTAGCTTTGGTAGGTTTGGGGAGGCACAACGGGAGGATAATGGTGTCCACTCTGAAGCAGGTGGATCAGGGGCTCTCGTGGAGCCACAATCTGCTTCCCGGCAGGTTGTCAATTAGGAATTACCAATTGATTTCTCCTATCTGGATCTGATTCTAGATGATTCACCTAATGCTGACTACATCCTATCTGCTCAGCATTCAACTGATCAAGGTTTACGACGATCGACAAGGCCTAGGAAGCCTAGCCAAGCATACATTGACAGCTTAGCTAGCCTGTCTTTCTTCGATAGCAACATCCTTCAATTCCTTGCTGACACTCTGGATGTGCTGATAAGTCTATTCTCAGCAGCTACGTCAAAAATCTGGGCTTTCGGCAGGGAGTGTGTTTGCTCTAACCAGTGGGTTGGGTGCACGGGATTTACATCAAAAGATCCACAGTATGCAGCTTCCAAATTGACATTCAATGACGTGGGTTTGAACCTAATGACTGGAAGGAAGCAAAGGCCTGTGTCGAGAAAGACAAATTCTTAGTTGCTGCACATAAAGAGGCTATCGCATCCATTGCAAAACGGCAACTGGTAGAGAATTCCTCGTTCTTCTGCAAGAAAGGGTTGTCGTCCCCTGTCTTGAGTCTACGATGGGTATTCAAAATCAAACATGATGGTACCTACAAAGCGACACTTTTACCCGTACAACGGCGTTATCTACATATCTCAGTACGACTACGGTGACGAAATCCTTGCTCGCTTCGGTCGTGAGAACCGCAAAGCAGTTGCCACTCCAGTCGATGAAAAACAGGCTTTAATTGAAAGGCCTACATCGGATGGCACTGCTTCGAAAGCAGAGATCAAGGAGTTCCAAACAAAACTCGGCACATTGATCTGGCTGATGGTGTCAACCAGGCCAGATATACCAACCAAGAGGTCCCAAAAAATGCCACCCAGGAGGATGATACTCCAGGGGTTCACGCCTCTTGAAGTAGATTCTTGCTTCCGGCACAAATTTGAGGATTGATGGAGGAGACGCGGATACAGTCGAGCCATTGGAGATGGTCGAAGTGGCTGAGCTCCTCGCGGTGAGGGCGGTCCAAATCGTTTAATTCTACAACGGCGTTGGAAAATCTGCTCTTTTCAATGATCCATACGAATTGCCCTGTGAAGACCCCACTATTTAGGGTCTTGAAGAGATTGATTAGAGTGACAGGGGCTCTTATACAATATATAATACTACTGGAAGGGAAAATTTAACTAATATTATATGTATTCAAACTGAACTCTGAGCCTTCTAGCTTACTAAATGGGTCAAAATCGGCCTGGTCTTTTATTTTCAACTTCGCACTTGTACTTGATGCTTGTATACAATTTCAAATTCTAGCTCTAGAGTACATGTAGGGTTAGGTCACCCAAAAGCACATGCATTAGACAGTATATACATTAAGCACAGTTTCGCATTAATGAGAATTACTATAAATATCGTTAATTAGCCTGGTTTGTTCATGGTGTGTTACATTGGTCGTGCATGCATATAGTGTGGCCTCGAAAGTAATTGCTTAGCATGAAATCAACCCGTGAGAAGCACACCAGATAGAAATTCTCCAATGAAAATTTAAGAGAGTGGATGATTAAATATTTTAAAGCGAGGGTAGTCAGACACAACGTATTCTACAAAACATCCAAAATAAAGATTTAATAGGATATAGGAAGAATTGAAGTTGACGAATACTTCCCGACAGTACTTTATGCAAGCTGCAAGCGAGCAAGGAATGTAAATTGCAGCTAATTGACATCTATTTTAAGACCCGAAGTGGCTGATATGTGAACTAATTAAGGAACATTTGAACGATCCCCCCTTCTGTCAAGCGCAGAGTGTAGATCTCTGCATCACCTCTGGGCGGTAACGCCCAAGTCCTATTGGTCGATGTCAACAGCTACAATGATATCTCCAACTGACACAAAGCGCTTTACACATCTCTTAGACTCTTAGAGTGGTCTTAGACTGACACCCGTTTTGAGACCAAGCTTTATATCCGGACGCCTTCCGCTGAAATGAAGGTTTTTCATTCCTTTTCAGTTTCAGACTGGCTAGACCAAAGTCCCTGGCGGACTCCCACTTGCTTCGATTTGCTTTTGATTTACTTTCTTTTTGTTATTTTTCAGCTGGCCTCTTTACAAGGATTCAGTTCATTGGCTACCCCCTCCATTGCCCTTCGAGACCCTTGTTTATCGTCATCCTGGCCACTATCCAACCTGTCGCCTTAGCCACTTGTTTGTTTCTGGATCATTGCAGAAGGGGATTTGCGTGAAAACTACCCAAATCCCGTTACTCTCCCAACTTGCGGACTTATCAGCTGGTCCTTGTCACCGGTTGTTTGCTGGTTCTCATTAGAACGCATTAATATCAACACTGCCCTCTAATTCCCCCGCTCGGTTATTACTCCTCCCCGTTAGACGAATGTCACCTTTTGCTTCTCCTGGGAGGCGATATCAGAGCAGTACGAGTCAATATCAAACAACTATCTCACAGACATGGCGGGAATCGTCAACGGACCTCTATCTCTCTTCCGCAAGTCGGACTCCTCAAAACCTCTCCATGCTCGATGGGGGGATGTGTCCATCTCTGTGCCCACAGATGGGTCCTGGAATCAATACGACAATCCCCATCGACCCGCCAAAGAGAGGTCAGCCTACGGGCCCGGCTATGTGCCCGACTGCTCTCCGCAAGACCGGCGGAATGCCCGTTCCGTGAACGAAGAGGACCAAGACGATGACACCAGAAGCGTCTGTAGCGAAGCCTCAACAGTCTCGCGGCGCAGCTCACTCTCCCTCGGAAGCCTGCGACCGGGTCGACTCTCAGTGCGCCTCGCCTCGCGTCCGAAACAACTGCGGGGCGAATCACAGACAGAAAGGGACGCCCGGCGCTCCGAGCAAAAGCGAAATGAGTTTGCATATCGACCAATTCAACAGGACTACACCTCCGAAGTAGTCGAGAACAATACCCATCCTAGCAATCGCTTCAAGTACATTCCGACCAGCGGACGGTACCTTCAGAGCTCGGGCGCTGACACTCCACGCAGCCAATCTGTCAACTCGCCCCGCAGCCCACACTCGCGGCGCGGATCGTTGTCCGAGTCTAGTGATCGGCGATACAGTGGTCGCGATCGCGACTATTCCACTCCGACTGTCCGAGGGAGCACCTATCAGGAGGATGACCGTCGCAGTCTGCACCCCTCTAGCTTTCGTGATAGCTCGGATGGCTCTAGGTGGAATTATGGGCTGCCACCTAGACGGCGGACGTCGCCTTTTGTTGCGGCTGATAGTAAGAGGGCTTCTTCGATGTCGAAGTCTATGACGTTGGCTATGGTTCCTGATCCTGATGATATCTATGAATAATGTATTCATGTATTTTGGTTACGTTTTGATTTTATTGAGCATCATTGCATGGTATTGGGTATTTTTTGGTGGTTACTGGCCTTTTAATAGCGGCCTCAGAATGAAACCTTTTTTTTTTTTTTCATTTTTGGTTCAATCTTGGCCGCTCAGTGCTCAGTGACGTGAAGGACTTCATAGCATTTCCAATTGGCGGATTTCCCCTCGTTCCGCCATGACCAATTCAAGTTTTGGCTGTCAAGTATTTTCTCATCTCAGAGGCATCTCAGGGGCAACAGGTTTGATATATCACCATGACGGCATATAAACGTCTTTTTTTGCCCCAGTTAATAGAAAATTCCACCTAAATGCGGCGATCTTCAAGCAATTCAATGTCGAGTGGAACATTCATCATTTAACACTAACAATAGAGAGCTCGCTATCTCATATCATTTTAACCGTAATGGCAGACGCAGTAGTCCAACTTCGGTGTGGTGTCAAGGCAAGTATATTCTGGTCAGATATTTTATATCAATACTAATTATTTATGGATTAACAGAACGACGAGTGGGGGAAGAAAGGAAAAGAGTCAATTGTTGCTCAGCTATGGTCGAAAACCCCGACCAATGCAGGGATTGACGACTCCCAGACTTATTCCGAGGTAAGCTTCTCGGAGTTATTGGCTATAAGCCACAGTCATGTTGACATTGGAGTAGATGTGGTTGGGCACGTACCCTTCAAACCCATCATATCTACTTTCCACGGGCGAACACCTCGGCGAATACCTGAAGAAGCATCCCGAGCTAGTGGGAAAGTCCGTCCACGACCGATGGGGTCCAGAGATTCCATTTCTCCCAAAGGTAAGCACAAAAGCCAAGAGCCAAGAATTATAGTGTGTGGACATATAGATAAAACTAACATTGATCCAGATTCTATCTTTCAGAAAAGCGCTACCCCTACAAATCCACCCAGACCTGAAGCTCGCCGCACAACTACACAAAGAGCATCCCGAAAAGTATGGTGACACCATGCACAAGCCAGAGATTGCAATTGCACTCTCTAAATTCGAGCTCTTCGCTGGCTGGAAGCCGCTGAAGGACATCCAAGCGCTGTTCGAGTTGAACCACCTAGCAAAGTACATTCCCAAATCCGGACAATTCAACGACGAAACCCTGCGCCAAGTATGCAAGGCTCTACTAAGCGCTCCACCCAAAGAAGTCGCACAGACAATGCAAGATCTGCAAGCCATCCCCGAATCCCAGTTCGGCGCACACACCTACATCCCCAGCCTACTGGGCCGTCTAGCAAAGCAATACGGCGAAGGCGATAACGGAAACCTAGTCGCCGCCCTGCTGATGAACTACATGACCCTAGGACCGGGCGATTCCGTCTTCGTCCCCGCAGACAGCATCCACGCATACCTGGAAGGCGATATCGTGGAGTGCATGGCGCGGTCAGACAACGTCATCAACACAGGGTTCTGTCCGGCTGCAGAACGCGACAGCGTGGAGTTGTTCGGACAGGCTTTGACCTTTGTACCGCATAATTCGCAGGATGCGTTGCTGCCGCGTAGAAAGAGTGACAAGGGCATGAATGGCAAGACGGATGTCTATGCACCGCCCATCAGTGAATTTTCGGTCTTGTGTACTAGTCTTGGGGCTGGCGAGAATGAGACGCACAAGGCCATTCTTGGGCCGAGTTTGATGATTGTTACCAAAGGTGATGGTCATATGAAATTCCCTGGTAACCAGACCGCTGAGTTAAAGGAGGGATATGTTTTCTTTGTGGGACAGGGGATTGCGTTGGACTTTGTGACTGACAAGGGCATTGCACTTTATCGGGCGTATGCGGAGTAAAAGTGGCTCTAAGAGGCTCAGGTGGGGGGTTATTTTGGTGAGTCATTTTGCGAGGGAAGAGTATAGATTGTATGATATTTAAAAAAGAGGATATTTGTATTTTAAAAATCGGGGATTGGAAGATTGAAGTAGGGCTTGGGCTATGTTAGATTTGTTGTATGCGGGCGTTGAAGCCCTGTGAGGGTTTCCATATCTGGCAAGAGACTTGTCAAATCAAAAATGAGTAGAAGAGGACCATACCAGAGTACTGTCAACTGATCAACACTCATCACACCTTGTAGATCTTTCATGATCCTAGGCGAACAAGCGGTGATACCCTTTTCATTTATATATACAACTTGGTAGAGTGATGTTGGATTAATCGGGGGATATCATTTGCTGATTGCCAGGCGCTTTGGACAAACCAGTTAACATACAAGATTGTTGGGGACGGCAAATGCATGAATGTGATTTGTTCACAGATGCAGCAGTTTTAATTTAGAAATTAGGACGCATTTGCGAGGGTCTAGCCCACCAGATTAGGCCGCTTATGCAGGTTAATTGAACTAATGCTGGCTAATTTTGTCGTCTTTGGGTGAATCTATCTATAGCTAATTGATGCTATCTTTATTTTTTCCCCGCGAGTCGCTCAAAATATCTTTGAAACAGGGACCGTGTGTCAGGATGGCACTAAGCTTCGTTGATCCGTTTCAGGGTCTTATATATCTATATCGTCGCAGTTTCAAAGCATGGGTTGTTGTTATAGCATCCACAGAATTGAGGCTCAATTATAAAAGTCTTTCTGGTCTTAATACAAGATCGTGGAGGTCAAATCTGTCTTGACTTCAGTTCTTTGTTTTTACTTTGGATATCTATACCTTGGATGTCCTTCCGACAAATACATCCCCATTGAATAATCCTTGAATATTGGGCTATGTCAATTAATTCTGTTCTTGGCCCCCGCTCCGATAACAACTACTCTTCTCGCACCCCCGTGATTATCATTGGTGCGATAGCTGGCAGCCTCATCTTCCTAGCAAGTATGCAGCTCGAGCCGCAACCCACCAGAAGCAAGCTAACCTAAACTAGTGACTGGAAGTTTTCTATATCTCTTCTCGCGAAAAGAACGGGCCAGAAGAAGAAATGCCCAACAATCCTCGGACTTTTCTCCTCTTGAACCACCACCAGCCTATAAAACGGACGAACTAGGCACACCTAGAGGTCTCCACTCCCAACCCCGGCCCTTGTCCTCCTTTGCGCCGGACTACAGTCGCCAGGCCCAGCACGCGCAACAATACCAACAACAACTGTCTCGGCCTTCATACGACCAACCGCCAGAATACCCCACACTGCCAACATATGATCCGTCACGATATCAACCTATTAGGCCAACGTCTATGGTGGGCGATATTAACGCCCACACCTATACCTATAACCCCACCAATCATGCCAATCCACACCCCGGTCCCTCTTCCCGCCTGAGTGCAGTTCACTACGGTGATGCCAGGCTAGCAACCTCCCGGCCGGTTTCAATGGCCGACCATGGACCTCCAATTGGTCCTGTAGCTGTTCCAAATAGGTCGAGGCGCCAGGCAGCTATGCCACCTCCACCGAACCCGAATAGACAGGAAGGCAGAGACAGGAGGGATGGGAGGGAGAGGAGTGCATCTGAGCCAATGCCGTCGGCGCAGGCCATTCCAAGACAACCTAAACCCGTTCTGTCGCGGCTGATCACCAATTTCCGTTGACATTGTGACAGTGGCTTGGGCTTGTTTTCTTGTTTTCACGACTATAACGGCATGGCGCTTTCTTTCTTTCTTTTTTTTCGGAAAATGTGACTGGGTGGTCATTTTTTATTTGTCATTTTTCGATTTTTTTTTTTTCAAGATTTCTACAAAAATCAACCCTCATTAACTGGTGAAAAAGTTGTAATTGTCATAGTAAAATAACTACTTTGTATGTTGTAGACAGTCACTTGGTCTGTGCTATGATCTCCAACATCGATCATCCCGGGAATTTCCCCTTTCACACTCTCCTGGCGCCTACAGTACATCAACGGAGTATTCCCGGCTCGAACGCCTCGAATTGATCTTTCCTAACATCCCAGTCTCTAATAATTCCTCTTTCAGGAAATTCACATTCTTTAAGGTACTTTGTCTACTCTAGACACTACACTTATGCCCACTTGACTGTGAATATTGATCCTTCAACTCCACTTCGTTGCAGGGATTCAGATGCGTCACAGTGAAATAGTGCTTTTTTACGCCTTTTCGCACTTTTTTCGCCTTGAGAGGGGAGGCTACCCCCTCTTTTGATCCCTGTCTTTCACCTGGTATATTTCCCTTTCTCGTCGGTGCTAGTAAATGACTGGTCAAGAAGAAGCCGCCTCAATGTCTCTATCACGTCCGTTGTTGCATCATGATCCCTGAATTCAAGGGATAAAATCTGCCACTCAAATTGTCTATCCTCAAATCCGATCATCATATGGAGGGTCTTGGTTCTTGTGAGTGCAGATCCTTAGACAAGCGCCACGCCAAGACGACGGACGACGAGGATGCGTTGATACAGACACACTATATGCAACCTCTGGCCGACCCGCGTCAATTTGTCCACGCAAGTTCACTGCGCCGCACCTCACAGCTAACTAAATATCTCGCTGAGAATGACCAAGGGGAACAGGGATCGCAATTACCCCTCCCACATGCATTTTCTACCCACGATGCAGCTATGGGAGCCTCTCGTTTTCGGCGACCCGCCTTGACCTTCAGCCGGTCAACTGTTAGCCCTGCATTTCGCTGTTTTTTTTTTTTTTGTTTTGTTTTTTCCCCCCTTCTCCGACGCGCTGTTGTTTCTGCGAGATACAGTATTGTCTCGATTCTTGGATTCCGCCCCGGGGGCCACCAGTAGAGGGGTTGTACCAAACCACCGGGTATTCTCCCGGGTCTCTAATCACTCGCTGGGTCAGTTGGCTACTAACAGCATCCCCGTCAGGCACTTCATTCGGAAGATCTTCGCTCTTCTTGGCTACCAACGGATATGCAGTGGTTTCCTAGTGTGCCTCCATGGACGTCTCGTTTTGATATAACTTCAACACATGCGGGCGACCTATCTGCCTTGGACACCTTCTCTCTATCCCTCTTTGTCCGTCTGCTGCGCTTGAATTGTTGCCTTGGGGAGAGAACCCATGCTCTCGGTGGGGAGTTTCATAAGTTCTGAGATGAGCACCGCACTAGGGAGTGATTTGTCCTCCCTTTGCTAAATTTGAACTCTGAACGTCCCACTCCTCTAGCTCCTATGAAGGATTGGTTGAAGACCATGGCCACTTTCATGAAGAAGTTCAAAAGGAAGCGTAGAGTGTCCACAGAACTCCACTCTCGCTGGGGTGATGTTTCTATCACCTATCCCACACAAGGGTCCTGGAATCAGTGGGATCAAACTTCTGGTTTTGTCACGAATGCACCAGCGAGGGCAGACATACAGGCCGAAGAAAATCAACAATATATCTCGGGTGGCCCATTACGCCAGCCGAGTTCTAGCACCTCAAGCAGACGATCGCGAAGCACAGCCACCCGAGAACACCAAGTGGGAGACAATCCATCGTTTCCTACAGGATATTTCGACCAAAATATACGGCGTCGTGCGGGAGATAGAGATACACACACACCGCCATCTCATACACCACCAGGTCAAGGACTCGGCCTTGGCGATCTCAGGCATGGGCCAAGTCGCCGACCCTCAAGCTCTATCATCGATGACGAATGCACTACCGATGAGTCATGCGACGAAGAAGAGGAAGAACGAGATATTCTAGGCCCACGAATTGAGTTGAGCCCTCGAGAATACGGCATGGGAGATGCGTTGCACACAACACGCGACGATAACGAAGATTTCGATATCCCAGCCAAGTCCCCTCCGCTCGCAGTGACTTCACGCATGCGCCGTTGTAGCCTCCAAAGCTGTGCAACAGAACCCACAGTATCTATATCTGGTGGCACCAACTCAAGACGAACGAGTTCTACCGCCGCATCTTCTATCTCTGTCCCTTCTATGCCACCCTCTACCCCTCGTGTTCCATACAATACCCCGAAGCAACCTTCCTTCCCAGAGAAAAGATACCCTCCCCGTACAAAACAGCGGGAACCTGAGTCTGCGCCTCGACAGGAAATGGTGCCTTCCTATGATGAGCTCTATGGTTGATATGTCCCAAACAAACTCTATGTTCAACTAGAAGTCTGTATGTGGTGGCTTTTTATTTGTTACTTTTTTCTTTTTTCTTTTGGGCGTAACCAATCAATCTTGTTCGAATCAGTCTCGTTCGGAAGACCTGTGGTCGCCCGTTGGACTGGATTCATCTCAATTTTATTTATTAATTTTTGCATTATGGAGGGTTTATTTGCAATTAAAGTCATTTCATATAATTATTTTGACCAAATATCAAGAAATTTTACCTATGTACAACATACCTTTTGTGTCTATACAGTATGGAGTAGGGTATACTTGGATCTTTTACTTCAAAATCCGGAGTCCCTTCTTCTCCCGGCCCTAGCAAGAGGGGGTTCCCTTGGCAGATCAAAGCTTCAAATATTTTGTTTTTGTTCTTTTCCAGTCCAGAGATGCCGACACCCGTTTTTCCATTTTGCGACTTCACTCAGATGAGGGGGTGAACATGCGCCCGTGCATTATGCAGACGGTATCACAGTCACAACCCACCACTCACCAATCAACCATCAGAGCCCATCACACTCTGTACGCCTGCAGCATATCCACTGGAAGCAGGATGACGGGGCGATCACTCCATCCCCCACCAACCGTTCCTCGATTCCCCAGCCAGAGTGCAGTCACCAACCAGCCTATAGACGGCGTTCTCTAAACGCCGAGGACCAACGTTGGGAGCAAGAGAATGTGCCTGATTCGACCGGCGCATCCCTTCCGTTCCTTCGCCCAAGCATTAGCAGCTCTGCAGGTGCTTGGATTGTGCAGTACTTCCCTGTCCTGTTAGCTCTTTCGACAAAATCACTCCACCTAGTCATCACATCCAAACGGGACGGAGCGAGAGCTGCTCGCAGTGAAAAAAAAGAAGCTTTCCCGCCCCAAAAAAAAGACTCACGATCTTAAGTTCTAATTTACCGTTTCTCATGCGAACGTGAGGTCGTTTTATCCGGCACTCTGCCTACTTTCATCCCACCTCCTTGGCGGTCGCTGTAAGAACAGAAGCTGTTGAACTTTCTGTTCACTACGGCCCATCATGCTCGGGCTAAGTGACGGAAGTTTAAGGTCCTCCAGGATGCTAGCTTTTGTCCTGGCTGCGATTTTGCTGAATAGCCCAGCTCCAGTGGTTTTCGGATTGAAAACCACGCCGGGTTCACCCTGTACAGATGTGTGCGGTACAACGGCCAACACTACATCTTCCGAGATTGCGTGTTTGGATCAATCGTACAATCAATCATCAGTAGGGAAAAGTTTCCAAAAATGCATCTCTTGCCAGTTGGACAGCAAGTTCAACGATGCGAACACTGGAGAATCGGATGTGAACTGGGGACTGTGTATGTCGTACCACCTTCCAATGATCGCAGAATGCAGTTTGTCGCTCAGTGCTAATTAATCGAACCAGATAATCTGCGCTACGCCTTTTCGACCTGTGTGTTTGGATCTCCAGACTCGATCTCAAATACCTCGTCTCCCTGTCCAGTCGCATGCGATGGTGTGCGCTTAGCAGTCGAAACCAACATTGAAGACCCAGATACATCGAACCTGAATTCGTGGTGTGACACTCCGTCTTTCGCAGATAACGTTGTCAATACCTGCGAGTTCTGCTACAACTTGACAACCACCCAGGTGTACATGGCAAACTGTACGTATGCCCTGCAGCCCTTCCTGTACCAATATGATATCAGCAAATCCAAAGAAACCACAACTAACCATTATCCGAATCCAGTTCTCGAGTCCATCCGCTACAATTGCCACTTCAAGACAGCAACGGGCAAGGCATTCGAAATAGCCCCAACAAGAATCTTCACTCAATCCCTCCTCCCCTCAAGTCTCTCTCTCACAACGCCCGTTTCCAAAGTCTCAAAACTAGATCTGGGAGTGGTGATCGCCGTGCCAATCGTAGGATTTTTAATCCTCGTCGTGTCACTCGCGTTGTGTTGCTTCTTCTTCATCCGGCACCGACGCAAGAAGACCCGTCGGAACCGCCACACGGTTAACCCGTACAACCACTGGAACGGTGCATCGCCGATCAGCCCACAGCAGCAGCAGCAAGCCTGGGCCGAGCAACAGATGTATAACTCTGGCGGGTATGGGCACGGGTCTGGTTTTGGCTTCGTTGATAATGACGGCCGTGGACAAGAGCTTGCATATGGCCACCAGGACCAACATTATCAAAACCAACAGTACCAGCAGCACTTCCAGGGGCAGGATAAGTCGGGTTTTTCACAGGATATTATTGAAGAGTCTCCTCAGCAGCAGTACCAGCAGCAACAGTATACTCAACAACAGTATCAGCAGCAGCATGGTCAAATCCCTGCTCAAATATTTGAGCCGGATCAAAAGGGTCAACATGGTCAGGTACCTGTTCACCCTCAGACCTTTGATCCAGATCAAAAGAACCCTCAGCAGTGGCAATGATTGTTGTGACAACTTGTACCTTGTTGTATTTACTTTGTTACTGTATAGCATTGGTGAAATGTCTGTGGATAGCAGAGTCAGTTTGTGGCTTGGATGTAATGAGACCAGGATATCAGCTCACCCCATTGTCGACGGCGTTTGGGTTCTTGTTTTATGGAGTTATTCTGCTCCATCGCGTCAATATATCCCCGACATCTTGCAATGTCTGCATGTCTTTGGCGTATATAGTATAGTCAATAGTCAAATGGAGAAAAAAATGTCCCAACACATAGAATATCCCAGTAAAGTACAATATAGTACTTAAAATAGCAGAGTGTGAAGAAGACAGAACACCAAAGAACAGCATCCAGCATGACCAGAAAGGGCGGCAAGAGGACTTATGTAGCAATTATCACTCCCCTCTACGATCTAAATATATCCACACACACACATATTATAGATCCGAAAATAGCATTGACAAGCCGCCCAGCAATGTCAACAACGGGACAGGCAGAATCTACGCAAGCCAAACTGTCAGATAATACGAGATGATCGGCTATACAACCTCCGGGCGACGGGCTTTCGTGGTTCAGTGTCGCTGCAGATTGGCTGGCTGTTCTGCAGGCGTTTCAGCACGCACTGCCAAGGGTCTAAGGGTCCAATGGGAGATGGGATGGTCGAACTTGAGGTTATTTTTGGATTTGTGGATATGTGGACTCTGTTGTGATTTTCTGGGTTTGATTATGGAGGGTTGGAGCTGTTTGGAGGGCTTGGTGCTGAGTGCTTAGCGGTATGCTTAGGTGGGTTGTTGAACTTCAGTGCTGTCATTTGTCCACCTGGTACAATTGTTTTGATATTTTGATATAGAAGGAATAAACCAAAAGAGTTCCAATTGGACTAGAAATATAGTGCTTGGAAACAACATTGACTGTGTAATTGAAGAGAATTGAGAAAATTGGGAGAAGAGAAGTCAACTGGAAGACTCTCAGGCTCTCCGCCGTTGATCTACACTTTTATCTCTTCCCCTCACATTTGGAGACAGAGCTCTTTGACCTTCCAAAGCTCCCAACCAGCCATGTCCAACCTCACCCAAGAACAAATTAAAGTCCTCGAACAATCGCGACAACGTCTCGTGCAGCTTACACGCTCACTAGGCTCACTGATCGCAAGTCTAAACCAAAGCGACCCTCTTCCGCCCTGGTAAGAGCTCTACCATCCATCTCCTCCAACCAACGCCAATCCCAGACCCAAGCAGACAAATGCAACAAGACAATACGTATATCCAAACCCATAAAACTAACCCCCAAAAACCAGGACCTCCCTCCAATCCCAAGCTAGCATCATCTCCAACAACCTTCTCAGCGTCTCGGACCAACTCTCCGACCAACGCGACCTCCTCTCCAATCTAGTCGCGTACCCAGGCCCAGAATACCCAGGCAAGACACAAGCAAACACGCTCGAGCAACTCCTCCGCACAAAACTCGATCCTCGCGTCGAAGACTGGGTTGCGCGCGGCCGCACGGCCGGTACAGAGCCCGCTGCGGGACAGTCTAATTTCTCCGACCCGGATGCGGCGCACAAACCGCTGAGCGAAGCACAGCTCGCTGATCTGTGGGAATGGGCGCCGCTGGAGGCGAACCAGGAAGCGCGGCGGAGGAATTGGGGTGGGAATTTTACGCTTGAGGAACGGGAAACTGGGATTGAGAATGTTGTTACTGGGTTGAGGAGGCAGTTGGAGGATGACGATGGCTCTGAAGAGGAAAGTGAGGGGGAGGAGGGGAATGCGGAGGAGATGGATGTTGTTGGTGTTCATCGGAAGCCTGGTGCTGCGGAGTTGGAGTACAATATTGCTCCTCATCACCCGCATCCTGTGCACCCGTTCGTGCCGTTGGATCTTATTTTGAGACATATGACTACTGGGCGCATGCCATAGTCTTCGATATTTAGAGACTTGATAAGTCTTGACTCATGACATGTGGTCTGTGTTTACGGTTCGACTGGGTCTATGGTTTTCCCATGAATACAACTCCTCGTGGCTCGTTCCTACAATTGTATGGTTCAAAAAACGGACGGTGTTATTACTATTTTAACCAAAACCGAAAAAAAAAGCGAAGTGAAGCAATCGCTGAGCTTTCTAACCCCGGCGGCGGGTGGTGGGTGTCTTCACGCTAGGTCTGGGAGACGCTCCCGTGCTCTGGGCTAATGGTGCCTTCTCAACTGCCTTTGGGCGAGGAGCGGCGGCCTTCTGTTTGGGCGCCGGGGCGTTCCAGTACCAGATCATCTGGATCGCGAGGATCACATTGAGGGAGAAGCCGCCAATGAATCCGTAGAGGATAAACTTGTCGTCAACTTCCTGGAGGGTCGTGAAGATTCGGGACATGGATCCAATGAGGTAGTTGAATACCTAATTAGAAAAAAAAAGAATTAGTGTTCGAACTGGGATCACGTTAGAGGGCAAATAGAATCATACCGTGAATGCACTAAGCTGTCCGGTTCCTCCCTCACGCCAGATGGTATAGATTTGAGGTGCCTTGCTAGCAACACCCAAAGCACCCGCACCAGCCTGAAGGTAGGCCATGGTTTGCGCATCCACCAGGGTCTGGTCGAACAACAGCGCATAAATACTGGCAGCTACGACAGCGATGAAAGCCGCGGCGGCGGCGGAGCGTCCGGCATAGTTCAGGACCAGAACACCGATAGCGATATCCTGCACGGCGATGAGAGCGGTCTCGCCATAGGTGCTGAATGGGAACTGGTTTCGCACGCCGTACGAAAGAGTGATGAGCAAGCTGGCGGTTTCGAGGGCGTAAGAGACGAATGAGACACCGGCGGAGGAGCGGGAGTTGATCAACTTCAAAATCTGCGGGATTTTGACGACTGCACTGGCACCAACGATGGCAATACCAAGGGCCTTGGAAATGGCGAGTGATGTGCAAGCAGGGTCCTTAGTGACATCGAGATCGACCAACAGTGCGCTGTGGCAAGACTTTCCAATCAAGGACACAACGGCATCATGCACTAGCTCGGGGATGGCCGAGACAATAGGCGTCAAATAAGGCTGAAGGGGGGTAATCACTGTGTTCTGAATGGTATCCATAATGAATATAAACGATCACCAGAAAAAGAGAGAACAGTGTTGCATCAGGCAATATCTCGAAGAAACAATTTGTTGACATTCCGAAGGTGAACGGATGTGGCCCGTGCATCACCGGGGAAATTCAACTTCTCTCGTTCACTTTTCTTCCTTCTGCATGACCGACCCGCCATGATCCCTCTGCGGCCATCCATTCTACGGAGGCCTCGAGAGGCGCTTGTGTGCTCACAATGTCTCTTTGGGCCTCGTAATGTGCGCCCCGAGGGCATTCGGGGGTTCCTATCATCCTCGAAACGGCGGACCGGGACTGCGGATGACCAGTCCCCTTCAGTATTCCACAAATCATATTTCTCAGCCAATCGATTCTACGACGGGTCAAATAACAAAGTTGGCTTGCTGTCTTCACTTACGTCCTCCAATGCGAAAAGCAAATCAACCGTTTCGTCATCTCCCAGCGTCAGTCAGTCGTCTGCAACAGCATCATCCGCCGCGATTGCGACAGAAGCAACACCAGAGGAACTACCACATCGGCGGCGAAAGCGCTTGAAGGAGGAAAGCAATTCAACCGGAAAACCAGAACCCAGCCTCCCGCTGGATGCCTCGGCGCAATTGTCGAACTTCTCATCCACACTCCCCACTACCTCCCTCCGCCGCAAGTTGGCTGCATATTTCGCCCTGACAAAACCGCGACTGTCCTTCTTGGTCGTACTCACCACCACCACTGCATACGGGATGTACCCAATTTCGTCCCTGCTCACCCTCGACCCGGCTATGACCCCACTCCCCACACTTTCAACCTCGACCCTGACCTTTATATACCTGACGGTGGGCACTTTCCTGTCTTGTTGCAGCGCCAATACACTGAACATGATGTTCGAACCAAAATACGACGCACTCATGTCCCGGACGCGTAATCGTCCTATTGTGCGCGGACTTGTTTCGCGCCGGGGAGCTCTGCTCTTCGCGATTGGTACCGCCGTCACGGGCCTGTCGCTCCTTTATATCGGGACCAACCCGACAACTACCGCTCTATCCGCTTCCAATATTTTCCTATATGCTTTTGTATACACACCATTGAAGCGAATCCACGTAATCAATACCTGGGTTGGCGCGGTGGTGGGTGGTATTCCACCGCTCATGGGATGGATCGCCGCAGCAGGCCAAACGGCGACAATTGGTCATGACACATGGCGCGACATGCTCTTCAGCGAAGAGAGCATTGGAGGATGGCTGCTAGGTGCAATCTTGTTCGCCTGGCAATTCCCCCACTTCAACGCCCTATCCCATCTGATCCGCGATGAGTACAAAGCAGCCGGCTACAGGATGCTGTGCTGGGTAAACCCAGCTCGCAATGCTCGGGTCGCTCTGCGGTACTCTATTCTAATGTTCCCCATCTCCATTGGTCTCTGGTGGGTCAATGTCGTCGGACATGGTTTCCTTGTCGGTAGCACTTTCGCCAATGGCTGGCTAGTCCGCGAGGCATACCGCTTCTATCAACACCAGGGTGCGAGCGGCACGGCACGTGGCCTCTTCTGGGCCAGTATCTGGCAACTGCCTATTCTCCTGGTCGGCGGCCTAGTGACTAAGAAGGGTCTCTGGGATGGCGTTTGGAAGAATATATTCGGGCAAGCCGATGAAGAGGATGACGAGTATTTGTACTACGAGGACGAAGAACAGTTGGAAGGTGAGAAGGCTAAGCTCCAAGATGGTACATCATCCCGTGCGCCATCAACCCGGACAAGCGCTTTGTCCACTGCATGAGCTTTGAACCACAAGTCTCTCGTGCTGGATATCTTCCACTTTCATTCATTGTCCATTGGATCCACATTTTCGTTCTGGAATTTTGTCTTATACAGCGGTTTGGAGTGGCGTTTCTTTTTTTTTTTTGACTTTGTATAACACCCGTCTCCTATATGTAGCTGCATGTACCAGATTTAGGCCGCGGTCGCGCCTATCAACTTGAATATTCTACCGACTCATTCTCCTGGATTGACTTTCAATACGATTGCTGATCCAGTTTCGAAAAGAGGCATGTCCACTGAAAATCCCTTACGTAGCTGACAAAGAATATGGTGAGTGGCAGATGTCGAGAATAACACCCTCAAAATTGCATTTGGTAGAGGATTGGCAGGTGGGTTAATAATGAAAGAGGCGGAGGCTGCGGGTATAGAAAGGTCCCAATGCAGCTCCTGTTAGGAATCTAATCTAGGAAGGGCATGGAGTTAATAGATAGGGCTCCAGGGAATAAACAAAGAGAAGGGCTCAATCGTCCTGGAGAGCAATGAGATCGATGCAATTTTGGTTCTAGCTATAGTTTATATAGAGAAACTGACAGTGACTTGGACTGGCTCAGACAATCAATCATATCTACCACGGTCACTTCTAAAGCGCATCCTCGAGACTCGATATTTCCAATTAAACCCAAATTGACCAAAGTGTCCGGATACATTTAGTACAGGGCTCTTAGGCGTGATTCTTATGAAAATACCTCCGAAAGTTGGCACTCGTTTAACTTGGGAAAGTAGGATTCATGGTGTCCAAGTACCGTAATGTAAGGAACGGCTTATGTTAAGCTGATGGTTGATCCATATCCCTCTGCGTGAGCTTGATCATTAAGGGGCTCTTCGTCCAAAGAGTATAGCACTTTTGATCTTCCCAATCGATGTCTGGCTCCGCCAGTTCCAAGTTAAAATTGAAAATCATCCTGGTGAGAATCAAGCGCATTTCAACATAGGCCAAGCTAGATGATGACATGTCAGGACCAAATAATCTCCGGTGTGGGAGTTCAAAGTGAACTTACTTTCGACCAATACAGTTTCTCGGACCAACGCTGAAAGGCTGCAGTGCATCTTTATTATCAGATGCAAAGGCAGGATCGCCGAGATGACGCTCAGGGATGAACTGATCCGCATGTTTGAAATTCGACTCGGAATGATAAGTGGCTATAGGGGCGACGGATACAACTGTCTTGATGCTTGTTAGAGGTGGAGCAGATTGGCACTGAGGTGAGATCTTGACATACCCCTCCGGGCACCCAGTGTCCATCAATTGTTTCTCCTTGAGCATCAACAAATCGCGGGAGGCCAACCGGGACCGGTGGGAAAACCCTCAACGACTCGTTTATAACAGCCTGTGTATATCGGAGTTTACTGCAGGTGTCCATATTAATCTCTTTGTCTGAGTTGAATGCCGTTCGAATCTCATGTTGTAGTTTGGTAAGTGCATTCGGATTTTTCAACAAAAGATAGGTGGCTCCAGACAGTATTGTTGCGACGGTTTCGGAGCCAGCAACGATGATAAAGCTGGCATTTGAATACAGTTTTCCACGGGGAAACTCTTTCTCGGTGTCTTGATGTTTGAGAATATTGGCGAAGAAGTCGGGACGATCATTAGACTTCTCTGTTCTCGCATCGACTTTCTCTACCGTCAATTTCTCATGGTTGTTTTTAGCATCAATTAGGCTTCTTGGTGCTAATAAACCAAGAAGAAAGTTTCCTCCTGGTAAACGGCTAATCACACGACAAATTGTGCCAGCTTTAACATTGTCGAAGACCATGCTTACCCATGGATGATAGTTGGAGTTTTGGAGACAACCAAATGGTTCACCAAATGAAAGATCGCCAATGATATCAAATGTGGCAAAGTTATACCATGAGACGATATCGATGGTCTCAGCGCCTTTTTGTGCTCTTTGTCGTAAACGATGAATGAGAAGATCGACGTAGCCCTGAATGACAGGTTCCTGGCCCCGTAGTGAACTGTCGGAGAACGCATGTGAGAGCGAGCGACGAACAAATGCATGATCGGCATCTCCAGAGAGAAGAATACTCGGGTATCCGTCGACAGATCCTTGGTAAAATCTATGATCTTTCTGCTTTTGGCCATGACCCGGCCGAGTTGCATAGATTCGCTTCCAGGCATCTCCTTCGGTTAAAAACGACAGCTCATCTGGCGCTATACGGAAAACGGTGCCATATCTCCGATGCAAGGCTGTGGTGACTTTGGGTGCGTTGCCAGTGGCTACCATACGTAAATAAGGGAGACGTGTTGCAGCCATAATCTTGGGCCCAGGGTATTTTGCCAATGGATGAAAGTAGACATTGTAAATGATTACACCGATGAAATAGAGGGTAATCTAGATCGCAAACAGAAAATCAATGTTCAAGATTCATTCTCCGTTCATATTTTAGCCAATAATTACTTACGGGTAAGATGGACAGCGCGAAGAACGCTCCATATGGGCGAACTAACGCGTCACCTGAGTAGTCGAGGACTCTGGTGAGAACGGACATCGAAGCTGAATGTCAATTCAAAATCTTGAGTTTTAATCGAGCCCCTCAAAAGAAGATAGTCTGATACCTATTTATACCTAACTGAGGGGGATCCTCAATTTGATGCAAGTACTTGAACGCACGATGGCAAGAAACAGAACAAAAACACACGTAACGTAAGCCCCGCAATGCACCTGGGCATGCATGCAATGCCTAGCGGCTGGGGGGGTGATGGAAAGGAAAAGCAAACACTTGGACCCTCAAATACTTCGTAAATGTGTTTACCATCTGCGGAGTAATAGCGTTTAGATACATGGCGTGCTCTACATCCGAATACTGTGGGCATCTAAATGGTCATGTTGATATATATCCTCGAATCGGGCACATGCCCCATAATACTTTTCCATCCGAATCAAAAATCGACACAAAGAACTATTTCATGTATACGTGGTATACGTGGCACAAGGAAACACTAAGAAACTGATTCGTGGAGCTGATCATGTCGTCTGCAGGAGGTATGTTGGTATATATTGACTTATCAGGAGATCGGCAAGCACCACTCAAGCCGCTTGATTGCTCGTCAAATTCCGTGCAACGATCCCTACATTTTGTTTAAATCAGTCAAAGACAGATAATTATATTTTCACACCGCTAATTGTGAGACTCGAAGGGGAATGGACCATCAACAACATCATACTCTAGCACTACTCCGTACATGAAGATTCAAAGAGCTTGATATTGCTTTCTGGTTCAATTATTTAAATACCTGCATACTTGTCGTCTAGTTTCAATTCAGTTAGCTCTATGGAGTATTTTTCCGTTAGCAATGCTAAATTCTCACCTTTCCCCCACCCTCATCGCACTATATATCTGTTCCTTGGGATTACAGTATAAGTATCTGATGGACCCCCGGGCCGTTCATTCAAATACATAACACTCCTTCCATATTGCAAATCCTAACAGAGAATGATTTCCTCTATGACCTCCCCTATTACAGTTGGTATCATTGGTGCCACTGGAAGCGTTGGTCAGTCCGTCGTTAAAGGGCTACTTTCTTCCGAAATCAATTTTGTACGAACCCTCCCAACCACGCTTTTCGTTTGATCTTACTGAGAATATTTGAAGAGTATCACATCCTTCACCCGTCAAACCTCGATCGACAGCCCTATCAATCATAACTTACGAAACGATGGCCTTGCTATTACCGGCTATGACTTGGCCCAGCCACAAGAAACCCTCGTGAATAAGCTGCGAGGAATTGATATCCTCATTTCTTGTATGAATTGGGAAAATTTACATCTCCAAAAGCACTGGGTTGAACCCGCAAAGTCAGCGGGTGTCAAGCGGTTTGTACCCTCCGAGTGGGTTGCGCCTACACCACCAGGCATCAGTAATGTCCAAGATACGGTGCGGTTTCCAGGGCGAGCACCTTGCTTACGGTATAGTTCATTGGCTAATTTTCTTTTCTTGTTTGGATAGAAGCGTGATATTCTGGCTGCCATTCAACGCGCTCATCTGCCATATACCGTCATTGACGTGGGTTGCTGGTTTGAGGTCTTTGTTCCTAAGATCGCGTCTGGGAGATCAGATCACGCCCATTGGAGCCTTATCGACCACCGAATTGTCGGCGATGGAAACCAGAAGTTCGGTTTGATTGATCAGACTGATATTGGTAAGTATGTGGCTCAGATTATCACCGACCCCCGAACCATAAATAAGCATGTCTTTGCGTATACCGAAGTCCTGAGTATGAACGAGATATGGGATACTATGGCTATTGTAAGCGGGGAAGAGCCTGTAAAGGACCATGTAAGTAGACAAGCCCGGGAGACCTACTTTCTCAACAAACACGCTAAATTAGACACGAGCAGGTCTTTGTCGAGGAGCTTGAAGCGATTATCCAAGATTATCCCAAAAAGGTGGAGAATAATCCCGGGATACAGGACACTGTGAATTTCAATATGGCACAGTTTCGAATATCCTGGTGTGTTCGAGGATATAATACGCCAGAGTACGGCGAGTACCTTGGGTACCTGGATTTCACCCAGCTCTTCCCTGACTTTCCAAAGGGGAAAAGCCTGAAGACTTACTATCGCGAAGTTGTCAACGGAACTGCGGAGTAATGGGAGCGACATAACCACAATAAATTTGAATGAGCTATTGAAATCCATGGAAATGTAGTGGTACTGGGAGTTAATGTATGTAAAGAAATAGCAGCCTTCCAAGGCGGCCCAAAAGACCACGATACTCCAGCCATGATAGAAAGCAAACGAAAGACGAAAGATAGGATAGTTTATTTTTCATTGCGGTGAGAGCAGAAGTACAGTAAAGACTCATAGAGAGGAACAGCCTGCTTGGAGAGGACGGTGGGCGGTCAACTCGTACATGCACCGTAACGGAACTAATCAAGTGGACTAATGCAATTTGGATGCACATTACTTTGCCTAAAACGTCCTCGATCAGCAACCAGCCAGCCACCTAGGTCGTTGCATATTTGTAATAAGCGGAACTTTCTAATTTACCCCTTCCTAACAGATTTCTCCCAGTCTTGTAAAGACACAGGTGCGCCTTCAATCTAAGCCCCCCAGACCGAATTGTCCCTTCCATCTGGTGGACGGCAGCACACGGAATATTAAGTACCTTTGTCACTGTTGGTGAGCGCCAGATAGCAATAGCATATAGCAGCTTTCGCCTCGTCTCAGGCCTTTCCTCCCCACGCTATTTTCGGTCGTTACTTGTCCATGACCATGACGAGAATCACTTGGTTAGACGGTCTGCGAGGTCTAGCTGCTGCCAATTCTGTTCTTCGACATGCTTTCTTCATGGAACCCAAAAGTGTGTTTGGACTTTTGTTTCGCTCGTACTGGGCCGACCCTCGTGAAGCAAATCGCCACTTTATTGAACTTCCACCTTTTCGACTCATCTTTGCCTCAAGCTCATGGGTAACCTGCTTCATGGTATTGTACGGAGTTGCAATTTCAATACCCGTCATCCAGTCCCGACATCTCCCCGTCGACAAGGATGGATCTTGGGTCAAGGTTTTATGCTCGCAGGCTACTCGTCGGGTTTTCCGTCTCTATCTGCCAGTGTTCTGCGTCTCACTTCTATCAAATCTCATATTCTATTGCGACTTTGTAACCTACCCACAAGCGGTCAAAATGATGGAACGAGCATGGAATCTGCAGCCGCTGACTGCACCCTGGGCGCACATCAAATTCTCGTCGTGGCAGTTGCTTCATCTGATGACTTTTGTTCGATACGATCTTGACATCGCCAACACGATGGAGCGAGATGATTTGGAGGGTGTGCTCAATCCACAATTTTGGTCAATTCCAGTTGAATTCCGTGGCTCATTGGTGATTTACTTTTTACTCCTTGTCACTGGACTTTGGAGGCCCCTTCCCCGTCGCCTCTTGTTCATACTAGTCACCTTTTGGTGGTTTTTCCTTGGGCAGTGGGATATATTCGCATTTACTTCAGGCCTGTGCATCGCAGAACATCTCTATGGAGAAGCGGAAGAAGCAAAGGGTCACATCCACCTGTCTTCTGACTCTGACCCTGCCTCCGACCATTCTTTCTCGAAGCGTATCAACCGGAACTGGAACACAATCAAGTTATCGACTTCATTCCACTACTTGTGGACAAACCTATCATTACTCGTGGGATTATTTCTGCTGTCTATCCCGGACGATGGGCCCCTTGGCGCCGAATATCAATTTCTGCTTGCCATCTCAATCTCCCCATGGTGGACCGTGAGTGAGATTTTCAACAGGTGCTGGACCGGGCTGGGAGCAACTCTTTTGATTATCACTATTGCCAATATGAGATGGCTACAATACCCACTCAACTCGCGACCATTGCAGTTCTTGGGCCGGATCTCTTATCCACTATATGTCATTCACTTTGCGGTTTATTTTTCTTTGAAGTCGCCAATGCAAAACTTGTTCTGGTCCATTGCCAGGGGCGAGTCGTATCCCGGATCGGAGGCCGCCTGCTTACACAAAGGCGCATTCACATTTACTTGGATCGGCTCGCTTCTTACATGCTTCACCATGATGATTATTGTGGCAGTCTTATTTGAGCGACACATTGATCGGATGGCCCGCCAAGCTGGTAGGTTGTTTGAATCTCGAGTCATTCAATAGCGGCGAGATCATATGTTTCCCTTTCGTTCTTCTTTCACTGCTTACGATTTTACAACGGGGCTTTGTCATTACTTTTCATTTTGGGGGGCATTTCTAAAGTATAGCGCAGGCAACGAATATATATCATTCAAAAGTTTCGTGTTTCTCACTCTGTTGTCTAAATTTAATTTTCATCCGGGGTTTCCAAGTGCTCGCTGGCCGCCTATTAGTATTCATTCCAAGGTTGAAAATAACCAAAGCCTCAGCAAATCTGCCGAGGATATTTGCAGAGGTGCAGGCTGGTATGACAAGGCAAGGAAATGTTGACACTTCGGGACCAATATGCACACCTGAGCATGTGCAAGATATTTGCTCCGGAAATCTTCTACGTCCTAAACCTCACATCTGGGCATCTGAGAAACCCCGTAACCAGATGGATACGTGTGAATAGTTGTGTCCATTTCCAAAAGCTCCACATCTCCACTTCCCCTCTCTTCTTTCTCGAGGTCATCTCGGGGTGCGTTCTGTTTGTGGCCTTGGTGACTGCTGATCTCATCACAGCCTGGTTTGATTTCCCTATGAGGTAGCATGCAAAGTCTCCGTTGGTGCAGCCGTTGGTGCAGCTAACGGGCCTTTGTGGTGTGAGAGATATTAAAGAGCATTACAGCCCACATATTGGCATGTGCATATGGGTAGCAATGCGCTGTATATCATGGGGCTTTGACCTCTGTCACGATTAAGTTAGGAAAAAGGAAAAGGTTTGGAAGATCATTTTCGCAGACGTCAGGACGGCCGATGTATGAAAGGACTCGGACTCCACTTAGCGTACAGCTCGGAGTGATGAACGAGCGTGGGCTGAAACAGCACTGTCCATGTCCTGACTCCATACCTGCATTCATCTGGGAAAAATTGCACTAATATGTCAAGATCTACATACACACTTCGAGCCAGCTGGCGAGGATTGAGTACATGCTGGGCAGACACGAGCTACTAGTAATGCATAACGCCTGGTATTCGAGATATATAGGTCTTACAATGGCCAATTATGTGAAAATGATCGGTACACGTCAACGGTGCGGATGCAGCGGCAAATGCAGCACTTGGGTGGTGTGGAGTATATAACTTAACCTCGGACCTCAGCCCGAGTATATGTATGTAATGACTCTGAAATTCCAATACATGGTAATACACTTAACAAATACGACTGTATTATTGCCGTTTTGCGCTTTGACTGCGTATTTGCAGAATAATGGATACGGGATGCAAGACTTTAAACTTTCTATCTCAGAACAAGGGAAATACGCGACTGTATTTTGTTTTACACACTAAATTGACCATCAAAACGTCGTGTACATGTAATTATATCAGTCAATTGTACCTTGAAGGTGGTGCCACTTGAAAGGCTTACAAGTTTTGGTCCGATTCGATTTCCCCTCAACATTGGAATAGCTCAGTCGTCGCCTGGTTAGGCGGGGTTGCACGCATAAACCAATAAGATGTGCATTTAGCATTAACCATACGTGGGCTATAGATTTCCTCAAGTCATATAGCTCGTGCCAACCTCTTATTATACAGTTAAATAAATGCCATTGTTGGTGCTTGGAAGTCCTAACTTATACTATCTGAATCTGACAAGAATAAACGCGAATCCTGTTTAAACAATGTCGGAGAACTTTTCCTCTCTTCCCATTATTGACTTTCAAGATGCCCTTTCGCCCGCCACAAAACCCCAATTTTTGGCTGAACTTAGACATGCACTTGTCAAGGTCGGATTTTTGTACTTGAAAAACCATTCTATTTCGGTCCAAGTGCAACAAGATCTATTACGAACATCGGGAGATTTTTTTCAGCCTGCCTTCCGATAAAAAGGCAGAAGTGAACATGGCCAATACCAAATCATTTCGTGGATATACTGGCTTAGGAAATGAACGAACGGCTGCGAAGGCTGACGAAAGAGAAACCTTCTGGGTATCTTGCATGCCACCTGACGTGGTTGAAATGAAATGATTGCTAACGTGGATACACATCTAATAGGCTGGATTGCACGAAATTCAGGACAGTTCCGAGCTCCCTGTTTGGTATAATCTTGTGGGGCCTAATCAGGTATTTCCAAGAAGCCATATCTTCTGAAAGGCTAAGCTAACTTCGTTTATAGTGGCCAGCAGAAACCTCAGCGGTTGGCTTTCGCAAGTGCGTGGAAGCATACTTGGCAGAAATCGACCATCTTTCGGAGAGGTTCACAGGCCTGGTTGCTGAAGCGCTAGACACGGATCCCTCGGTCTTCGCCAATTTCTTTAAGAAGCCATGTATGAGCGGTATGAAAATCGCGGCATACCCTGCACCAGACGCTTCACAAGGCACCAAAACCGAGTTTCAAGGGGTTGGACCTCATAAGGATGGCTCGTTCTTGACCTATCTACTCCAAGGAACGGAACATTCCAGCCTCGAAGTACAGAACAAATCGGGCGAATGGATCCCAGCACCCCCAGTACCAGGCACATTAGTGATAAATATCGGTCGCTCGTTGGAGGCTCTGACTCAAGGCGTGTGTGTTGCAACTACTCACCGAGTCAACCTAACGAGCGAACAATATTCAGGACGACAGTCGGGTGGTGGGCAGCTTGGTGCACGGCTTAGCTTCCCTTTCTTCCAGATGTTTGGCTTTGATGTGACAGAGGAAGATATCAAATTAGACATTCCTGATCACATCACCAGGCTGCGTGATGAAAGTGTCCGGTCTGATGCTGAGTCATTCTTCGGGGATCTCTTCAAAACTGTCATTGGAGAGGCCTTCATGATCAACGCGCTGACGAGCCATCCGGAGGTGGGCAAACGATGGTATCCTGAAGCCCTGACTGAAGCCCTGAAAAAGCAGGAAGAGGGGAAGAAATTGGACAATGTGAAAGCTCAGACCGCTGAATGTGTTGTATAGGCTATCGTCTGCGTAACGATGCATTGATAATTCACAAATTTCAGAAGACTTTTCGGGCTTACTATAAATATCCTGTTCGCATGGCTTAAATCTTCGGAAGAAGAAAAGGTCGACATGGATTTCAAGGGATAGAACACTGTCATGTTCTCATGAGAGTTTGCTGTAGGAGCCATTTCCTGAAAGTGGCCAAAAATAGTAGCAGGGGATCAGCGCAAGCCATTAGTTGGGGCGGCCCGATCCCCGAGGAGAGAAGTGGAGGGAAATGGAGTGAGTGGAGAGGAGATGGACATGTCCCCTGCGGTGCACCTGCACCGGTGCACCGATCTTGATCTCATTTGATTTGCATTCTCCCCCCTTCGTTTTCTTTTTTCTTTTTTTTTTTTGTTTCTTTTTGCCAGCGGTAAAAAGACTTGATACACACATAGTGTCTTGGCTAATTTGTACGTAAATAGACCGTATAGTTAGCATCCCCCACACTTGCTCATGCACTCACCCGTGGACCTCTTTTTCACTTATTCTCGCACATTTGTCACCCATTTGTCATCCATTTATCACTCATTATCACACATTTATCATCAAACGATGAATCAACGTCCATCAGATCGCGAGCATGAGAATATGCCACTTTTGCTCGAGCAGGGTGGACGCCAGAAGAGTCAAGCTCTTCCCAAGTCCCACTTTCGACAACCTTCAGTGTGCTACAAACCCCAAAAGTTCGAGGGAACAAAAAAAAAGAGGATTTCTGACCGATTCATAGCCATCCTGGGTCGTGTTTTTTTACACCAATTACATGTTCATTTTCGGAGTCTTAACTATCCCAGAGTTTAATGCGACTCTCTCCTTGGTCTGTCACCAGCGATACTCAATCGGCCGACCCCCTGCCCACGGACCTACCGAGGAACTCAAGAAATGTTTCGCCAACAAACACGCGCAATCCGATCTGTCTCGCTTTCTCATCTATGGCCAAGCGACAGCAGGTCTCCTAGGTGCCTTTGCAACCCCAATCCTGAGCTCACTGTCAGATCGCGTCGGTCGCAAGCCGATCCTCGCCTGTACTATAGTGGGACCGTTGCTATATGAGACACTCATGGTATTAGTTCTCCGCTATCCAGATTGGATAGACATGTACTGGCTGCTGGTAGGATATGCAATTGAAGGTTTTAGCGGGACCACGATTACGGCAACAGCGATCTCGCAGACATATATCACCGACCTCACACGCCACAGCGCCGGGGCGCGCTGGTTCAGTTATCTACAGGCGGCGTTTTCATTCGCGGGCGCGGGAGGGCCTATCATTGCCGGCTTACTACTAACGACGCCTAATAGCATCCAGCTGATCTACCAGCTTGCTATGGGTGCTCATATATTCCTCTTGTTGTTTATTCTTTTTGTCTTGCCTGAATCGCGAAGCCCAGACTCAATTAGTCGTCGCGACCGAGACGGAGATATCTCAGAATCACCCCCCGATGAAAGGAACAACCTCCGCGGATGTCTGATATCGATCAAGTCTATTTGGGAATCCCGAGTGTTCCGACAAAAGAATATGATCATTCTAGCCGTGATAGAGATGATTATATTTGGGAATATAATAGGCCTACCCACGCTACAATTGGCATACCCGGCATTCTTATTCGGATGGGCACCGGCTACGCAAAGCTTCTTTTTCTCCATGGCCTGTTCATGGAGTGTTCTGGTTTTGACGTTGGTATTTCCTCCAGTACTAGCCCGGGTACGCCGATGGAAGAGGGTAGATATGCCGAGTCGGTCGACTACCTCTAATTCCGGGGAGGTCGGCTTGATCCAGGTGAACTTTGTACTACAGATGATAGGCTATATGGGAATCGCCTTCTCACAAGCGCCTAGCCATTACATCGCATCCTCCTTGATCCTTGCATCTACCGCTTCTATTACGCCTCTGTTGATATCATGCCTCACCGCGCAAACGCCTCACTTGAAATCAGGGCAATTACTGGGAGCTTTGAGTTTTCTCCATTCAATTGCTCGAGTTGTGATTCCTACGCTCCTGAATGCTACGTACAGCATGACGGTAGGAATATATCCGGCGCCTTTGTTCATGCTATTGTCAATAATCCTAGGGGGGGCTGCTCCTTGCCAGCATGTATATAAACACAAATACACTGTGACAAGCTCCATGGAGGGGGTTTCGGATCGCAATTTCCGACTTTCTTTCCTTTTCATTTGTTTACTCATCTTTGAATTTCTTTCGTTCTTTTTTCTTTCTTTTCCTTTTTTGAGGAAAAGGGGCTTCGGGTTCGTCGAATTTTGTTTATGTAATGCGGTTGACAATCCCAGGAGGGTAACTCTAGGAGCATGCATCTCATTTCATGGAGTTGATCCTCATCCTAGAGCTGAAATGAAGCCGCTGATGTGATACCTAGCGAGGAGACCTATTCAGTGCAAGGTAAGGGAAAGCGAAGATCATCAAACCCATCTCCCCGAAGGCGACCTTGATTTATCAACACGGAGATACCCAGCAAGCCGATCGAGATCCCGCCCTAGTTTGAACTCCATGTAACGCAAACATTCCCTCCTTTAGTCACCACGTGGCAGATTTGATAACAAAAGTCAACAAATTATTGAATGTGGTGGCTGGAGCTTCATCGGACATATCAGTTCTTGTTACAGATAACTTCTTACGCGGCTCTCACAAGCAAGGAGTGGTGATCTTCCATCTGGAATTCAGGTGGCCCACTCCATAGTTACCGAGAAGCCGATCTAACAATTCCTCCTGGCCCGAAACTGAAAAAGAAGGCTCCAGGGCTGATCAGAATGCTTGCTTCGATGCAACCCATACGCGATAATTGGTTTATCTTGGTTGTCTTGCGTCGGCTATAAGGTCCCACAATACCTTGCATTCCAGCACCTCGTAGATGATGAGCAATCGTTGCGTTCTCAAAAACCGATCGGTCTGCACTTCCAGTCTTCTATTTTTCCAACCTTTCTATCAGGCATTCCAGATTCATTGTCCATCCTCGCCATGGACCGACATCAGCCCGAGTCTCTCTCTGATGGATCTACGGCATGTCACAATGATGAGCACAAAAAACCTTTGAAACCAAGCAAATTGCTTTTGGCGACCTTGTACTTTGGTATTTACTCCCAATACTGAGCCATTTGTTATTCTGATGCTGATTACATGGCTTGTTCCTCCTTTTCTAGGTGCATTTCTAGGAACAACCGATGAGAGCTTCGTGCTTATTACCTCCCACCACATCGCACAAGATTTAGGGCAAGCTTCGTCTGCATTTTGGCTCATAACAGGGTATAACCTTGGTTATTCGATAGCACTGCCAATCTACGGTAGGATCTATGAGATTTTAGGTCAACTAAAGGCCTTCCTGCTTGCCTACGTGTTATATGCAGTTGGGGCCGCCGTGATGTAAGACATTGATGACTACGACTCGCAACCCCTTTACTACTCAGCCGCTGACATGAATAGGGGCTCCGCAAAGCCTTTGCCTGTAGCAATTATCGGGCGGCTCTTGGCGGGCCTTGGTGGGGCCGGGATGGTAGATCTTGCGTCAGTTGCTTTGAACGGTATGACTTCTATAATTGATCCCCACGCCCTACCTTTCTGACGGTAAATTTTCATGCCACAGAGATGGCGGACCTACGGCAGGTGGCTGTACTGAGAAGTTACCTTATGGCCTGCATCGTCCTTGGAGGACTTGCTGGTGCCCCTTTGGGGGCCTTTCTTACCAGTGTATTAGGATGGAGAATGTAAGCCCCGTGCCCTACGCTCCATGCTCAAAGCTAATTGCAAACTACTTGAGATAGATCGTTTTTCCTCCATATACCGTTAGTATTTATTTGCGCTATCATCACTACATTCAAGCTCTTTGCCGGTTCCAGGGCCTCGTCAAAAGAAACAGGCCACAGGAATGAAGAGAATTGCCCAAAGAAGCCGGCTACAGATCGCCCGTCGCTCGATATGGGAGGAATCATCACCTTGACCTGCACTATCGTCGCCTTTGTTCTTCTTATTCAGCTTTCAACGGAGTACGATCTGAGCGGTTCTCACATAGGTATTCCTATAGGTCTTGGGGTTGCTCTTCTGGTCTGTGCCACACTATTCGGCATCGTTGAAGTCAAATGGGCTAGCAACCCTGTGATTCCGTTCCAACTTGTGAAGACCACTCAAGTTGGTCAGATATGGGGTGCCACCTTCTTCTCCTCGATGGCCAACTTTGTTGTGAGTTATTGACTATAATTCATTGGAACGAGCTTGATCAGGCAAGCTGATCCCTCTCTCCTACAAGCTGGCTTCTACTATCAGTCCATATTTTGTCCAAACTCACGAGTTGACAACAGCGCAGAGCGGACTCAGTCTTATACCTCAATCAGTGGGAGCTACTATTGGGGCTATCCTGACAGGCATTATTGTGAAACGGTACGAATCGCTTCCTGATCCCCCTTCAGCCCAAGCCTAACAGTTCTCCTTAACTTCACAGCACGGGGCGTTATAAGGCGTGTGCCATAATCGGACTCTGTGTCGCCATTGTGAGTCACGTAATAATTATTGTTCGTTGGTCAGTCTTCGAGCCATTTATGTGGGAGTTGATATACACAGCAACTGCCGGGTTCGGGGCTACAATGAGCTGCTCAGCCCAATTTGTTGCGCTGAGCTCTGCTGTTTCTGAGAAACAAATTACCGTCGCCATCACGTCGTACTATCTTTTCCAGCAAATTGGGAACATGATTGGTATTGCTTTGACACAACCTCTGCAGCGCCTCTTGTTCGAAAAGCTGCTTGGGAAAAAGATTGGAACAGATTTGGAAGCAGCAAAGGTATGAAAAAGAACGCTATTCTTTGTGGACATTTTTTTTCAAAGATATTAACATCACTTCACAGACTATCAAGCATATACTGGACAACGCCCAATTTTCGTGGTCATTACCGAGCACTCTACATGGAGTGGTAAATTTTTGCTTCCGTCAAAGTTATTTGATTAGCCCCGGTAAATTCATGGCCTGTCTTGAGTCTCTAGATACCCAACCTCTTATACTTACAATATTCTCGTTCCAGTTCTTAGCATAGTAGCCTTATCCTCGGCCTTGCTTTTGCTTATCAAGCTCAAGGATACTACTGTTTGATCCCTTCAATCACAAGGTCAATTTCCCTTGAACCAATAAGGACCAGTGATCAAACGGACCTAGACCAGCAACATAGTCTAACACAGCACCATGCTGGTGGGCTTTTTTGCGCTTCGGGCGCAGTGCTTGTGATAGGTTCCCACCCCAGCGATCACCCCTACTGACCTGCGCTCGTATAAATTTTCTTTTGCCTTGGGGCACCCTTTTCTTCACTGGCTGTTTCTTGTATATTAGCCCCCTTTTTTTTTGGCCACATTTCCTTATCCAGTTACTCTATGTCTTTAACTTAATTTCTATCTTCCACCTTCAATGCTTGCTTCTTCACCGCTGATTCCATACATCGGGCTCTGGCGTCCGGGAAATAAGGCTGGCTTGTCAAGGAATTATCATGGGTTGCATATATAATTGATATTTGTGACGCTCGATCGCAGGTTATATGTAACGACTGCTAGGTGTAGTATGCCTAGGTGCGGCCAAAGTGTGTGAAGTGGCTGACTGTGAGGTCCTCCCTCGGCGACGCGAAGGCTTACATCGAGGCATGGTCGCTGGTGTAGAAATTCGGCTGGCAGTGTTTGAATATCTCATGTGTTATATAGTTATAGGGTGTTGTTACAACCACCCCCCTGGCTGAAAATTCAGACACCGCATTCCCGATCGGGTGCGATACTAGATTCTGCCACATCTCTGCCAGGGATAGAGCTTTCTGCTATACAACATAGTTATATTCTGGGTTACATAGTAAAAACTACTGCATTTTGATCAGAAAGATCGTACATTTCTGCCTAGTTACTGCCTTGATACTCTATATATTGATCATCCTTTTTACACACCTCCCCGTGCGCGCTTTTGTCCCCGTCCACGTCCTCGACCACGCCCTCGATCACCACTACCAGTTCAACTACTGCCAGTCCCCGTCCCCGTTCCCAGCCATATTGATAGTATGAATGATGAATTGAAGAGATTGAAACGATTGACGAAGAAAGTGATAGAAAAGGGGTAGTAAGAAGGTAGGTTAATGTATGTAAACTAGAATTATCAATTGGTCTGATTTAGTATACAGGAAAGTGACTTTATTTTATATAGGGTTGACATACAAATTGTAGGTATCCACTGTCTTATCTTATTATGTGGGGTGGTTTGACATAAAGGCGGTGTACAATCTCGAAGGTGGTGTGGAGACCGGTAGGCAGAAGCAGACATCAATCCAGTGTCGCACCCGATCGGGAAGGTGGCTGAATTTTCAGGTGGGGCGGGGGGGGTCCCTAGTTATAATCATAACTATATTGTGAGCACTTTAGCTGACAGTATATTATAGCCTAATATAGGTTGTAATATATTTTGATAACTAACGTATTTCACTACCGAGCCGCCACTATCGCCGAGCCGCTACCCTAAGAACACCATAGTAAATGCAATATTTTACAACCTTATATCCCAGCAACCATGTTACTGTTTGGTTTCATTGTCATTCGATGGCTATCGATAAGACTTTTGAACACCATATGTTAGGTTCAAGAAGATCAGAAACCTACATTATCATGGTATTGGAAATTACATAGCTTAAAGCTAGAAATATATATATCTCAATCGTAAAGTAGTAAAGATGCTCCAAAGCCCTTTGAGACATATATATCTGCTAAAATGCATTAATCTATTAGGAAATTTCCACATAGCCTAACGTCGTGGAGATGTCAAGTTGTAATCTATCCCATTTACTATGGTGTTTTGGGCTGGCCACTCGCTTGTGAAATCCTACCTTCTTACTCTATTGAATGTATAGAGCTCCGGGAGCGAATTGGTGGGTGGTATTAAGATCTAATTCCTAGACGCGTTTTGGGTAGGGTGGCTAGCTTGCTTACCGAATACTTTATATGAAGACCCATTACTATATTGGAAACCCCTTGAGACATCTCAGAAGGGCGAAAAGCTGTGATATGAAGCTGGTGTAGATCATGTAGATCAGGACCTTAACCGCACCGTCGGAATTAACTCCGAGGCGTCTATACGGACAAATCAAGTTGTATATATAGCCTGATGTCTCTATCTGATATAATAAGTCAAACCATAACTACCTCTTAAGTAAAATAAAAGCGACAACAGGGCCTAGCAACCTGCAGAAATTAGGAAGCAAGGTAAGCAAAACTACTGTATTGGTCTACTCTGTAGCAAACCACTGAACTGAGGAGGAAGGAACGAGTGCAAAGAAGTATATCCAAATCCAAGAGAATGGACCAAGATCATTCTCATTCTGATGGATCATGTGGCGAACTGTAGGGAACTGGTATGACTTGATACCAAAATCTTACTATGCAAAGGAAGTGGTAAAATTAGTGTGTCTTGTAAAAAGCAGCAAGTTGCTCACTATATAACCCCTGAATGCTCCCAAAGTGGGTCTACAAGTGGATCCTATACAGCTCACAGCAAGAGCGATGCGAGCGTCAACTTGCCGATCCGGAGATGCTCGAAGGGAAATGACTGTACTCCGTACTCCGTAACCTAACCAACTATGGGATTACTAGTTAGTTAGGGCATTTCTGGCTGACCTCATGTTCCTTTTCTGTTAGAGATCAGGTGATCTTGGTGAACATTTCCCCATCTCCCTCTTTTAGTCTTCACTTCTTCATACGTCTCAATATTTTCATGTTCGTGCCTTTAACTGACAGTTAGTTCCCTTTTAGAGTTGCATTAGAATGCTTTTTCTTCCTGCATCGGTCTATCAACTCATGTGTATTCTCAACACTTACATCCGTTATCATGATTCGTGTGTTTACAAATTCTCTTTTCGCCACATAGAAGAGGAGCTGAGACACCCAACCCATGAACAGAAATTTCACACGTTATTGTAATAATCATCTTGGCGAAACGCTCTACTACTCGTCTATTTTAAGCAAGGAGGCGGAGAGATTCCACTGAAACAAAGGCTTGCCTCTTTCGTTTTTCTTTTCAAAAAGAAATAAAGTTCCTATGTACACCCACATCAAGGGGTGAGCTGATTATGTATTGATAGGACCCCCTGCTAAATCCTACGTTTCGGTTGGCTTAGAGGACAGCTGAATATTTCAATTATTGGTATTTGCTTGTTTTCAGATCTCGGAGTTCGATTAGTTCGATTGCCACACGTTGCCACCGACCGGGATCGAGAAAATGCCTAAGCCACAATATCCTGCTCTAGCTGAGCCAGGTAAGAATCTGTCCTTGTGATGTGTTTCGAGCAAGATGCATATATTTACATGATTACTCACTCTGTAAGCAATCTCCAATGTAACTAGAAGGTCCGCGTGAGGCGCAAATGCTACTTGAATCGTGCGTTCATGCGATAGAGTGGAGCAACATACCCAGTGAGAGCAATTATTGGCTATTTTGAACAGTGAGACAAGCCCCTCCACTGTCATGCATCGATCATGCAGTCGATCAACCGAGGTGATGGGTGTGATCGAAGGGATTTGAGCTAGGGTGTGCTCCCTAGGTGACTATATTTAAGTAACGTTTGCACTCTTGCAAGTGTTGCTGTCCTAGGGTTTTCTTCATTTCTGATTATCAGCTCGCCGATACAAAGGGTATCACAGGCTTGAAAATGACCGTCGATGATCAGAAGCCACTCCTTGATAGTCCAGTTGGAGTTGATGATGAAGAGTCCATGACCAAGTCGAAGCATCTCCGGATTGGCAAGTTGGCGCTCGCATCGCTCTTATTAGGTGAGCTGTTTTGCTTTGATGGCAAAATCAAGACTTTCATCACTGACATCCGGGAACACAGCTTGTTTTCTAGCCAATGCAGATGAATCCTTTATCCTTACGACAGGCAGTGATGTCGCCGCCGCCCTCGACGCACCCGAATATACCTCGTGGCTTATTACTTCGTATAATCTGGGCTATACAACTGCACTTCCATTGGTGAGAACTCCTAAGCTGAATGCTGACTTGATGGCTGACGATCGAAGCACGGTCAATTATGCGATTTGACTGGACCCAAAAGAGCCATTCTACTAGCCTTGACCTTGTATGGATCTGGGTGCATTATAACGTGAGCTATCCCATGTACGACCTTGTGAAGGTTATATGGAAAGCCCATATCTAACCCAGTGATAGAGGAATCTCGGGTTCCATCCACGTCGCCCTCGCCGGTCGTGTTATCTCAGGAATCGGTGGCTCTGGAATGGTTGAACTAGTCTCCGTTCTGGTAAATGGTATGTATCTCTGAGCTCGTGGTGTGTACATCCTGAATGATGGCTTTACTAAGATTTCGAACTTGACTACAGAAATGGGCAGCTTTCATCGCGTCGCGGTGTTGCGCTCTTACGTTACCACGTCTTCGATAATGGGAATTACTTGCGGTGCTCCCTTGGGTGCCCTGCTCACTAGCTACTTTGGCTGGCAATGGTGAGACCCGGATATTGAACTGATTGCATCTGAGGGCTAAAGGGCTAACGGACTGTTTCATCTTAACTTAGGGCATTCTTGATACATGTCCCCTTTGCGATCCTGTGTATCGGCGTGGTCTTCCTTGCACTTCACATTGAGAAGCCGCAGTCTATTATCCCCACTGGAGAAACATATGGAGCGATTAATACGAATAAGTATGGTGGCGCTAAGTTGAAACAGAAGTCATTCGATGTTGCAGGGCTTGTTTTCCTCATGACCGCAATCGTATGCTTGCTTGGCCTCATTCAAGTAATCCCAGCGCAAGATATGGACAATAGGTCAACCGCTCTGATTACTCTGGGGGTCGCTTGCTTGGCATGCTTTGTGGCGTTCTTCATCAACGAAGCCTATGTGGCCCAAAACCCATTGATCCCGCTTTTCCTCCTCAAGCCTCACAACCTCGGTTTGATTTATGCTGTTCAAGTGCTTACTGGTGTGACAAATTCTGCTGTAAGGTCCCTGAGCTCTGATCAACGCGACTCGCAGCATGGATTTCTGACTCGTCGTTTATAGTCAATACCGATAGTTTCGGACTACTGGGTCACCACTCGAGGGTTCTCAGCCGTGGAGGGCGCAATGTGCTGGGCGCCATCTACCTTTGGATTTGTGCTTGGCTCACTAATAACTGGCAGGTTGATACAAAGGTAAGGCTTCAATATCATATCTACCTAAACCTGAAGTGGTGCTTCTTAACTCACACTTTGACGACAGCTCTGGTAGATATCTTCTTTACACAAAGATCGGCATTCCGCTGGCTTGTTCGAGTTTTCTCCTTATGTTGATACGATGGACCTTGTATGAACCGAATATGTGGGAGATCACATATTCACTCGCCTCGTCGGTGGGACTCGGAATGATTCTTTCTTCTCAATTTGTTGCCCTATCAGCCGCCAAACCCGAGGCAAGTCCGGCTACATCCGTCACGACCTTTTACCTTTGCCAGCAGATAGGCTTTATGGCAGGTGTAACCTCATCAAGGTCCTTGGTGAGGAGAGCCATTGAAAGTGGGCTGAAAGCTACTCTTGGGAACAACGCTAGAAGCCGGGAGGTAAGTCAATATCTACGGATCCTATTACTGCAAAAGACTTGAAAGACTTACGATTTCAATGACGGATAGTTGATTACTCAAGTACTGGCTCATCGGCGATCATTGAAATTTGTCCCCCTCATCTTCAAGACACTGTGCGAACGACTATCCAGCGGAGCTATTACGTACCCCCAGGTGAGAAGCTTGCCCATATTGTCTCCAAAATGTTAGTTTTTCGCTGACATAGTCCTGTTACAAAGCGATCTCAATCGGCTCTCTACTCCTGATTCTTTTTCTTTGCTTCAGACAGAGAGAGGCTAAGTCAACTTGAATTTGTCAACCAAGTTAAAATATTTTAAAAAAGTCACTCCTACCACACATGTCTTGTCATTCTGTCCAGAAAATAACTGTAGCTTGCCGTATAGAGGAAAGAAGATTTTCATTATGCTAGGGCGATGCTTGGGTTGTCATCTGAAAGTTGCTGCTTTATTGAGATATAACCTCGTCAGATACCCACTCTGTGCCTTAAACCACCAGGAATGTCTGTGATGAAAATTATCGTAGAAAATGAAACGTTTTTATCTTCATTTCAGCAACGATTCTTGGCCCGGAATCTGCTAAAGTCTTTCGTTTTCGACCTGACGTCAGAAATGAATAGACAAAATCTAGGGTGTATTTCAAAATTCTTTTGCATAATTTTCCCAAGGTTACGAACATGGAAACATGTAATTGTGTTCCCCCACGAAGCAAACCTAGTTTTCGAAAAGGTTGTTGTAGCTTGCGATGGGGTTGCTAAGCAAAGCATTGGCTGTGGTGGGCTTGCTAACAAGGTGGTAGTAGTAGCCGGAGTGGTGACTATGTTGACCGCGTTAGCGACTTGGCGTTGGCGGAGTGGAGAGGTGTATCGAAGGGGAGGCACTTGTTTATTGTAGGGTGATAGCGCTTGATAAGGGCTGAAAGCCTTTGCACGTTTGTGTAGTGACAATAGTGGGAGAGGGGCACGTTGAGACCGTTTGCTAGTGTCGAAACTCGGTAGGTATTTGTATGTGGCCTGGCCGGTTATGTCGATGGTGACTGGTGACGATGGTGCCGATAGTGACGTTGGTAATGGCGGCGTCGATGGAGGGGCGGATGAAGGATGACGATGAGGACAATTGAATAGAGCATCCAAGGGCTCATGACCTGTTAGGAGAGGTCTACGTGGTGGACGTTCGAAGTGCACGGTGCAATGTGAGGTTGATTGTTGAAGAAGTTGAGCTACGGAGAGACTAATAATCTGATAGTGCCTTATCACAATGTCATTTTCCAGTCATTCCATCACACACGCCCCCTGCTCATCTGTCCCACACTCATAATCTTCTGTAAGGGGCTAACCTTTCTTCACCAAGCTTCACAGGAAGAGGAGCTTCGCCGTCTAAGGGTAATTTCAGTCTCAGAACTTGGCGATGCCATATAACCGTAGAGTCCAGAGTGTTCTTCATACGGCTCTGTAATTTGGAAGTCATACTTCATCAAGAAATGACAAAGTATTATCTTCAGTTCGTTCGCAACAAAAAACCTGCCAGGGCATGCCATCTTACCATACCCAAAGCCCAAATGATCAGGACTTGTAGAGACAAGCAAAGCTGTATTTGCCTTATCGGGGATTTGCCGCATGTTCAGGAACCTATACCCATCAAACTTCTCACCATCAGGCCAGACTGAAGAGTCCATCATGTGGGTGGTTGAAATTCCAAGGTATGTCCCCTTGGGCACATGAATATCACCGGGTAGGGTGAGAGTCTCATTCGCGATGCGATGCATCGACACTAAATGTGAGCCTAGTTAGTTATCTGCTAACAATCCAAGGCTCTGAAAACATGAGAATCTTACCCTTCCCCGTTGGCCGCAATCTTTGACTTTCCTTGATGACACTGTCCAAGAGCTTCAAATTTTGCAGCTCTTGTTTGGTAAATCTTTTGCCATCCAGATTGGACTTTATCTCTTCTCGTAGCGCATTGACCAATTCTTGGTCCTGCGACAGATCCGAAATGACATGGAAAACCAAGTCGGCGGTGGTATCCATGCCAACAAATGCAAGACAGATTTGCATAGCAACGGGATCGTACTGACGACCTTGAGCAACCTCCTCCAGCCAATCTAATGCACATGAGCCTGTTTCTGAGCTCTCTCCGTTTTCTTTGCGAGCAGCTATTATTGCATGGCGCTCCTTGATAACCGGTCTAAGGTTCCGTCGAGTAACCTCCACCGTCTCCCGAAGTCTTTTGCACGAGGGCAGCATCCATACAACGATAGGCCGCAGGAACTTTGGCCAGGTATGTAGCTCTCTAGCTGCAGTGATCATCTGATGTGACCATCTAACGATATCATCTCGCCAGGCTGGCTCCCTGCAGAAGTCATGACCAAGAAACGCTCGCCCTGTCACCTGGGCTACAATTGCCGCGATGGCCTGTTTCAATTTGAGTTTGTGCCAATCTAATTTGTTATGATGCCGGTTTAGCCGTATCCTCATATGTGGAAATAAAGGGCGGTTCTCTCTGCATACCTTGTTCATCTGTGCAAATTGTTTTGAGAACAGCCACAGTTTCTGATGCCACTGGCTCTGTGAGCGCATCTTCGAAGGGTGAAGTCAGTAAATTTGGTTTTCATTGTCAGGAGACAGTTTCGGCTCACCCAGAGAATGCGACATTTTTGTTTTTATCATGTCGTTAATAATCCCAGTATGCGCAAGTTCTTTGAATGGTTCGAATCCAGGTAAGTTTCCATGAAGCTCCTATCAAGAGTCAGTAAATACTATCTTTCAACACAGCTCAATTTTCCACCGGGGCATTCTTACGTCGAAGATCCACCATCGAAAGCTCATTCGAGTATCGTTACGAATAATGTTGGCATACTTTGGTCCCAGTATCATTCGATATTTGTTATCTGCAAAAAGATAAAATGCAGAGTGAGTCTAATTTGGAGAGCATTCATCGATTAGCACGTTTCTGCTATGCCTTGAAACATCGGAATACCATCAAGCACCTTCTTTATGCCATCCTTGATCAAATTCGTTGCATTTGTATTGAATCGATGCACGGCTTTCTCTGTTCCAATCTCGTACCATTTCCGTTTGTTGATGATCGGAATTTTGGATGGCCCGGAATTGAACAGTAGAGTTATGGCCAATATAATCAGACTACCGAGACCCAATATGTAAACCGGATCTTGTGACTCAAAAGCTTCAGTCATATTGAAGCTAGAACTCGGGTTATTTATTTTGAGGCGGTGTTTCGAGGACTATTTCCCGTGTGATGAGATAGACCACTAGCTCTCTTCTGACCAAAAAGGTGCAGCGCTTTATAATATCCTCTGCTGCCACGTCATAGGCTCCATCTGCAGAACGCTGACTTCACTGGTTTCTTGAAAATTTTGAAAAGTCTTTACAAACACCGCAACACGCGAAAGGAATACAGGTATCTCAGTAGTAATTTGGGTTCTCCATTTTAAAAATGACACCCAAATAACATTACCGTATTGCATGTATCGCGTCGTACCTAGGTATATATAGAGCCAGAAGGAACATTACTGTATGCATGGCTAGGAACATAGCCCTTCTGCCTGTTGTATACTTCCTGAATCTCATTGGAGCTTCATGTTGTGATTTCTGCACCAATATGGGCCCTTAATATGCCCATGTTGATCAGAATTTGCACGCAAATCAAAGCTTGAACCTTGCAATGTCAGCTGGTGCTTCTCGTCGTCCCTGATGCTGGCAGTCCTTGATGCTGGCACTAGTATGGTGGGACTATGTGGGTGGGAACTCAGTAAAAAAGGCCATACGTTAGGTATCTAGGTATCGGGTATCAGCACCTCAACAGGCACTCTAAAATGAATCTAGCCCAAGGCGATATGGGGTACAATCCACTTATTTGATGATGAGGTATATTTTCTTAGCATTCGAGATCGAAGCGCGGGACTACTGCAAGCGCCATACTTCACATTTGTACTAATCGAGATGGGATCTGAGCCAAGTCCCGTTGGCAGCCATGCTCGAGCCCCTCTCATCATGCAAGTAAATTGGCAACTCCTCATAGGTCGGGATAAGCCGATCGCGATCGGCACCTCGGACCCTACTTGCGAAGTGGACTTCATAAAACCTTGGAAGGGGTTGTATCAAGTGGCGTAAACTTCAAGGTAGGCTCATGCAGGCAGGTAAATTATACCGAATTGAGACAAAGGACGCGCAGTTGAATGAACATACAGCTTTTCACTCCATACTCATACATCTAAGAAAATGAAACAAAAATGCCTATGTACATGGCAAGAATGCGCATGTGACGAGAAATGCTGTGTTATTATTTAAGTCCGCATTGACCATTTACCACTAGATTATTCGAGGGTTACATTATACTGCACTGCCATGCGGTGATTCAATTGTTAGGAGTGTGTTCTGTCGATCTATGTAAGGATTACCTAGATGTGTAATTTGGTCTTCAAGTATTCCGTATAGTATGTACGGAAATTACTAGTGTATACAACTCAATACCGAGGTCCGATCCACCTACATGACTTTTTATACTCCGTATATATATAACCTTCTTATGTGTTAAACCTTGCCGATCACTACTATGATGCTCGGATACAAAGCGTCATACCGCTATTTGATATTATGACCTGTATATATGTCTAGGCGCGTAGAGCAATGTTGCACAACGCGCTATTTGCGGGAATATCGCATATGTATACGCTCGGACGACAAAAATACGAGCTTAGATGGTGGGAAATCTTTCCAAGGTTCGCACCGAGACCGAGGCGGAGTGGTGGGGGGAGGGGGACCGGGCCGCCCCGCAGCTTATTAAATTTCCGTGAATTTGATACAGAGGATCTGACATGGCCAGTGTATTTAATACGGATACGTCATGACAATACCGATCGGTTAAGACTAGATCTGCAAAGCCCACGAAGCCCATACCTCATTGGGGGGGCACTGGACCCCAAACAATGCAAACATCTAGAAAAACGTCACTGTTTTAACCTTGGAGTTACCCTAAGTCTAGAGCACGTTTCCTAAACATTCTAGATATATATCTAACTATGGAATATAAAAACTTACATTTTGGCAATTCCAAGGTTTCCGCGATTTCGACCTGGGTACCGGTCTGATTTTGTTCAAAATTGAGATACATTCTCATATAGGTATTCTAACTAAGAATTTTAAATTTGAACTTATACGATTACCTTGGTAACTAGTAGTCGGTCTAATTCAATGTTATTAGGAGAGGTCTACGTGGTGGACGTCGAAGTTCATAGCGCAATGTGAGAGTTATGCTACACAACCTAAGAGATAGACTAAGAAATATGACAAATGTATTCAAAGAGAAGTTGGGATGTAAGCATCATAGAGAGGACTGTGTAATTTGTAGCAGCACGTCTTCTTGTGATGCCTAGTAATTCTGCAATATCGTGATTCGTTTCGTTTGCTCGCTCATTTCATCGACTTGCTTGTTCCACTCCCTTGTCACATCAAGGTAAGTGGCCGTGTATTTTTCCCCCAAGACTTTTTGTAAGTCTCTATCATCAGCGAGAGACTTCATGCTCTGCTGCATATCACGTGGGAGCGGACTAATGCCAAGCACTTCGCGCTGCTCTTCTGACAGCTCTGTGGGAGAGACTTGGCAGTCCCCTGCGATGAGTGGCAGAGTTTTTCTGAGGCCATCAAGACCCGCCGCCAAAATTGCAGCCAGGGATGTGTATGGGTTTGCCAATCCACAGTGCAATTTCAATTCAAATCGATTGTTGGTGATGCGACGTAAGGCGGTTTCTTTATTCTGCCATCCCCAACTCACAAATTCTCCCCCACTCCAAAGTCCGGTCGCCAACCTCCCGTAAGATACGTTGAGCGGAAGACAAAATGCCATTAGAGATGGAAGATGATTGATGATACCCGCAAAAAATGGGTCCGAGTATTGCGGCTCCGGGGGCGACGACGAACCAATAGAGTTGACCGAAATATGTACGTGGGCCCCCGTGCCCATATTTTCAGGGAATGGTCGAGGGTGTAATGTTGCGCGATATCCAAACTCCTCTGCCATCCTGGAAATGATATCCCGGGCGCGAACAAGAGTATCAACAGCTTTTAAGGGCTGTTGGGGTTGGAGGACGAACTCCCATTGCCCAGGAGAAAGCTCTGAGTGGTACTGTTCGAGCGGAACTTGCTCTTCCTGGAAATTCCTCACGATGGATTCTATCATAGGCAACAATGACCGCATTTCGAATGTCATTGCAGAGCATTTATGGTTTACAAAAGGTTCGGCGCCATCCTTGTCCTCTCTTCGAAAGAAGACGACCTCGATTTCATACCCAATGAGAAGATAAAAGCCGTGGAGGTGGGCGAGGATGTCCGACAGGCAGGACAACTTGGATCGAATACATTCAGCTCGCGGAGTTTTATCTTGGTTCACCAGATTTGCAAGGATACGAACCCGCGAATTCTCATGGGAAGTAATGGAAGCAGTGGATATATCGGGTGCTAGATACATCGCGCCGGTGGATGCCGCAGCGTCCGCAATGTTATCATTGCGAAGAGCATGAAGGTATGCTGATGAGATGCTGATATTTCGGTTCTTCTCGATCATCTCTGTGAAGTATGAGACGGGTATCATCCTCAATCGAGTAGTTCCTTCAAATAGCATGAATTGCAGCCATACAAACTCGATTTTCGGGTGGCTGGCAATAATAGCTTTCCATTTCGCAGTATCCAATTTGCACGAATCGGGATCATCCTGTGCATGGAAGCTTAAGTCAAACTTCTCAATCTCACTCATGGCGAGGGACTAGTAGTGATATTTCTCCAAAGCTTTGGTTGAGATAGATGGTTGAGCCAGTGGGTTATTTGGGTGGTGGAGACGAGTGGTAAACAATTGCGCGGAACAAATAAAGGACTAAGTTCGCTGTCGAGACGAGAAAGTTTATCGCGTCTAGAAAGGTAGGTAATACCTAGGTAGTCTGTGTGGTCGCAGCTTTCCCCTCCTGAATTTCTAGGTGTCTCTCAAGTTTCCCAAGCCAGACTTCGATCTTGTATTATTCACTTTTCAAACCAAAATTACCTGTCTATTACCTATGCAAGTGTAATTTACGTCACGTAAGTTGCATGTATGTAAACGTGTGTATGTAGAGCGCATGCATGTATTGACCCACAAGCCCCACTCCCGCCGAGGGGCAATAAATGACTGCATATCTACACCACGTTTCGTGTTACTGCATGATACGTGCAGCTCTAGACTTTGGGGAGCTGGAGAGCAAAAGTGTGCCATGCTTGCATCGAGACCCACACATCATCTCACATAGGCGCATATATCCGGCCCTCTACGACTGCTCTGATGGGCTCGTTAATCCTGACTCAGGTGAAAAAGTAGAAGCCACATTCGCTCAATTAGGAGGAGTATCAGTACACTTGTATGTATCGCTTGTGGAATTTACCCTTAGTTAGTCGTATCAAAATATTCTATCGCGCATACGTAAGAACTAGTAGGATTCAATCTTTAGATGTGAGAGAAAGCTGCCGAAATCGGGAGTGGGATAAATAATCCATGACATTAACATATTTGGGCCGATGTAGGGACTTAAGTAAAATAGCTTCTATGTTCTAACCTACATGGGAACTTGTCAAAATTGGGGAAGACACACCCGGCCGATGTGGATTGGCCCCGCGTTTTACTTTCATAATATATAAGATAACGTATTTGCTTCGGCTTCAGGGGTACCATCTTCTCTTCATTCGGAGTTGAACGAAAGACGCGCACCTTGCAATACGTCCGACATTACCATTCGAGAAATCCTAGCCAACTCAAAATGGTGTTCTTCCCCACAGAGTTTGCTGAGAGCCTCCAAGCATCCATTGATAAGCGACGAGACATAGGTCGACTTTGGACCCTTCGTCCCCCTGAGTCATACGCCGACCTTGTCAACTTCACATCCAATGACTTTTTGTCCTTGAACTCTGGAGTTCACCGCGAGGAAACCTTGAATGAGATTCAGCGGAATTCTGGTTTCAAAATCGGGGCTGGCGCCAGCCGCGTAGCTGATGGAACCTCAGCATACACCTTCGCGCTGGAACAGTGGCTGGCAGAATTCCACAACGCGGAGTCCTGCCTGCTGTTCAATTCTGGATATGAAGCAAATGTGGCCATATTCAACGTTCTTCCCAGGCCCAATGATATCATTGTCCATGACAGTGCAATCCATGCGAGTACTCATGTCGGCATGCGTGGTAGCCGGGCGTCGTTGATCAAATCCTTCGAACACAATGATCCCGCATCACTGAAGGCTGTTTTACTTGGGATCCTCGAATCCGACCCTGCGGTTGCAAGAGGTCAGAAAACTGTCTTCCTCGCAATTGAGTCCATTTACAGCATGGATGGGGACATAGCTCCAGCTGCCGAGATTGTGCAATGTGTCAAAGAATGTCTTCCGCTTAAAAACGCTGTTTTGGTGGTCGATGAGGCACACTCAAATGGAATCATGGGACCCCAGGGCAGGGGGTTTATTTCCGATCTTGAACTTGAGAACGAGTTTGCCATTCGCTTACATACCTTCGGCAAGGGAATCAATGCTCAAGGTGGTAAGTGAACGTTCCCCTTTCAGGAGCTATTCCCTATATTAACTCTCAAAGCCGCGGTACTATGCCCTCCTGTGGTAAAGGACACTCTGGTCAACTACGCCCGAAACTTCATATTTACTACCGCTCCCGCATTCCTTACTATGGCCACTGTCAGGGCGTCCTATAATGTCATTGCAAGTGCAGAAGGAGCAAAGGTATATATCTTGGGCTTCTAGTGAGTGTTGACTCTGCTGACCATCTTTGTAGAGGAGGGAGAGTCTTCAAGAGCGAGTGCACCAATTCTATCGCTCTCTCACTCTGCATGCACTGTGGAAGATTTCGTGCAAAAAGGATCGGCTACAGGTAGCCGCCGCTTCGAACTGGAAATCCATGACCTTTATTTCACCCATTGTTCCTCTCCTAACAAAAGGCGGCCTGTCTCATAGTCTGGAGGACTGGCTCACTGAGAAGGGCTTCTTCACAATCGGGGTGGGCTTTCCTGTGGTTCCCAAAGACAAGGAGCGTGTTAGATGCATCATACATGCCGACCACACGGAAGATGAAATTGACAGCCTCGTTGATGCTGTAGTCACATGGGGGGCGGACGCTCATATCTGAAGTTACAATATCATCATGTCATTTTGCCTGCCTCTTACTTTTCTTATTCCTGCCTCAAATTGGAATGGACTTATCAAATCCTTTCCCAATAATCTACCCGCACTCGTAGGCGTAACCGATCCGACGATTTCTACTTACTCAATAGGTTATAGTAAACTCTCTTTGCTATGCTGTAACATTCTGCAAATGAGTGGAGGACATGACAGGATAGGCTGGCAGATTGACAACGCATTTTAGCATTCCAAAACAATAATTGAAGATAGGCAACACTGAATAATGGAATACCCCTGCGGTCGAGTGGAGTTGTGCGAGCACAGTCCTCCAAAGCAAGATGCACCTAGTTGTAGGATGAGGTGTCCGTCTTCTCCTGCATCTAGCGGGACAAGCCCCGCTTCTAACTGTAACTAAAAGAATTTGCTTCGTGATTATTTCGGCAGAGTATGGAAATATACGATGCAATACATCATTCAGTGACCCAACTGAATTCAGTATGGGCCCAAGCACTGATGCAGGCTTTACTTGTCTATCGCCCGTCACCTGCAACGAAGAAAGTATTACAAATCAGATTATATCTTTATCACTCAGCCCTTCCGAGATGCCATGTAAATACAAACACACCAATTCATACGACCGTACATCCATCTCTACCTAGCTAGCAACCTTAGTCACCTAAGAGGAAAATTCCTGCCATGACACTCGTCGACGCTTTCAATGTCAACACAACGGTGGCAGCAGCCATTCTCCTGCTGGCCATTGTCCCCGGCATATGTTTAGTGAACATTATAAAGCACTATTGCGATCCGTTACGAAGCATTCCTGGCCCATTTTGGGCAAAGTTTACTCGATTATGGTATCTACGTGAGATGCTTACCGGCAAGTCTCGTGAGACAGTTGTGAAACTTCATGAGGATTATGGTTAGCTTAGTTTTGCTCCTTTCTTCGAATTTTGTGATTGCTGATATCTCCCGAGGCTCTGTGGTGCGAATTGCGCCAAACGAATTCAGCATTTCCGACATGGATATCATGAGAGAGGTTTACGGTCCTCGGACCACGTTTGAGAAGGTTAGTTCGTACCCTTCTGATATTGAACATCTCTGAATCTCATACGCACTTAGTCTGAAGCATATGCGCCCTTCACCAACCCAGGCGGAGTTACACTGGTGTCAGAGCGAAACAACAGAGCTCACAGGGAGTTACGTCGAAAGTTTCACTTCTCATTCTCCTATTCTCAAGTCATTAAAATGGACTCTTTGATTGATGAGGGTCTTGACATTCTTTCGACAAAGTTCAATGAACTGGCAGACAACGGCAAAGATTCTGACTTGCTACACTGGCTCAAGTTCTGGAGCATGGATAACAGTGCATTGTTAATCTTCGGAGAAAGTTTCGGATGTGTTGAAAACGACGCCGATAACAATGGACTCTTGACACTTACTAGAGCAAGCACATTTTACGCTAGTGTGGTGGGGATTATTCCTGAGTGGCATAAAACTCTTTGGAACCTCGTGCCGTCTTATATTTTGAGAGAGAAGGAGGTGCGCAATTTCTCAGAGAAGCAAATTGCCGAGAAGGAAGCAGCGAAAGAGTCCACGGGAACAGCTTGCTTTTTGGATACTTGGTTTCGACAAAAGGAAGCGGACCGCATGGACAATACAGAAGTTCGCATTGGAATCGGAGGTGCCCTAGGCGGAACTGAACTCACACCATCATTTGTGGCTCAAGCAATATTTCACGTCTACAGAGAACCCGCTATTTTACAGCGCCTAAGGGATGAGATCGACCCAGAGATGAAGCGCTCACACACTGCTGACCGTGGTATTATCTCCCACGAGGCTGTACAGGCAATGCCTTACCTACAAGCTGTTCTCAAGGAGGTATTGAGACTCTACCCCATCGCCGCCATTACAATGCCTCGGGTGGTACCCAAAGGAGGTGCAAACCTTGCAGGTTATCACTTCCGTGCGGGACAAGTCATTGGTGTCAATGCATGTGCTGCATCTCGCAAGGAAGAATATTTCGGTCGTGACGCGGGAAGCTTTCGCCCCGAGCGTTGGCTAGATGATCCAGAGGAAGCCAAAAGGGTTAAGTACTACAGTTTGCCGGTAAGATATCATTGTGCCCTTCGACTATCTGAATACTAACATTGCGACTATAGTTCAGCATGGGTGGAAGAGAGTGCATTGGAAAGCACCTTGCGACTTTAATGGTTCTGAAGGCACTGGCGTTGATCTTCTATTCCTATGATATTAAGACTTCAGACAAAGACCTGAAGCTTTGGAACGACATTGTGGTTCAAGTGAAGAGCCTGACAGGCCGAGTCCAGCCAAGACAACTTTAGTTGTTTTGATCTTTGCATTAAGTTAAATCAGCTTGGCATATCACCTTTCCTAGGAAAGTCCTGTCAACTGCATCGTGTTCTACAATTCGATTATTGGTGGTTCTAGCAAGAATGAACTATGTAACTCATTCTACAACTCCTTTTAAGCTTGCCTTCATTCATTTACTTGTGATCTCCTGCCCTGTCGCGTACAGTCCACCAAGTTGTAGAAATTGGACATGGGATAAATCGGTCTACGGGCTTCACGGCTTCACGAATATTCTTTTGTGGAGTGATTCAATATACTTCGCGATGCGCATAGAATTGCTACCCGATTCCATGCGCCCTGGCTATGATTACTTGGAATATCTACTTACGTATACCATATAACGTGTACAAAATGTCCGAGCAGTGTGAGCCAACCGCCAAAAGACACCCAGAAGGGAACAGCTGTCACGACATTGGCATCTTAGAATATGTGCCTATGCATACTGTCTACAGAAGCCCGTGTGCACTGGATGTGTACACAGCGTCCGCGGGCCGCCCGCTGAACGGCATACGGAAGGCAATACCTGTTTCGCCATTGGCTTTGTTGAAGCCGCTTGTGCAATTGACGTGTGCAATGTATGCATGTTCACGACTGTAGTTCTGCGCAAGAAGATAACGGCATGTCGCGCTGTTGGCGCCCCTGACCGACATTTCAGCGGTCCTAAATTTTCCCATGGGCCCAAATCTAGGAAAACATGAGGCCGAGTGAACCTCAGATTGAACGATCTTCTACGGCTAGAGGGGGTTGATTGGATAGTGGATCTCGATCGGCAGGCCGATCGCACCAGCCCTGTCTTCCCTCCTTGACAGGGGGCTTCTGCATGATGACAGAACCCAAAACATTGAGGGAATTAAGAGATCCGAAAGAGCGGTCGATCTCCAGCCAGCCACAATTCCAAAATCTCCGCGCCTGGGGCGCAACCTATAGCTCTGCCGATGAGACTAATGTTGGAGTTCCATGTGTACCACTAAAAACGGGTATTGTAACTATCATTGTATTGACAGTAACAATACATTGATACCCTTGAGGTAATTATAATACAATACAGCTAATGTCATTGTCGTATATTATCATATCATTCTATGTACGTGATTCCCCAAAATAGCTAATGAGCAGCTTCCTGTAACGGCTTCCAAGGAAACTTTCAATTTCTACCCTAACTTCTGCTCTTTCGCAGGTCACAATCGAGTATGGAATGAAGTTTCCGTAATCTTGTGAACGTGCTTTTTGATACGAATAGATGTCTGATTCATGCATGTAGAGCGTCGTGGAGGAATATCACTAGTTTGGAGAGGATGGTGCCCCTCAATTTAGTAGGATTAACGGGCTAAGTGGGATAACTAATGAGCATCCACATGGGATGATAACATTGAGGCCTTGATATATATTTGAGCACAAGGTATAAGAGGCCATCCATGACCAAACTTAGTGGTCTTTAGCTCTTCATAACATTTTTCCCTCCGTCCTTCCTTTCAGCACATGAACCCTTCTCACTTCTCAAACATCCCTTTTATATTCCAATATGCCTTCTTTCATGAATGAACTTGAAGGAAACAGCACGCAAGACCCTGGTGATCTCAATGTTGCCGGGGCAGAGCCAATAGCCATCATCGGACTGGCAATCCGTGCCGCTGATGAGGCCACAGAGGCCGAAGCTTTTTGGGATTTCCTGCTAAGAGCGCGACAGGCCACTCGGCCAATCCCAGAGGATAGACTTAGCTCTAAGGGATTCTATCATCCAGACCCAGATCATGGGGGAACAGTTGGTAGCCCATTGAGATTGTATTGACTGTAGCTGACTTCTATCAAGTTCTATGCCAAGGGTGCTTCCCTTCTCGGAGAGAGTCCCAATGGATTTGATTCCGCATTTTTCAAGATGAGCAAAACAGAAGTGCAAAGTCTTGATCCTCAACAGCGGATTCTGATGGAAAATGTATATCACGCCCTGGAAAATGGTGAGTGTTAACCTCCTTGAATCAAATCTTAGTCAGTATCAGAACAGAGATAGTAATCTTCCTAAACTCGCAGCCGGTCTTCCGATGGAAGAAGTCATCTCCTCGAACACTTCTGTTTTTGTCAGTGGCTTTAACCGGCATCATGCAGATCGCATCAACAGCGACTTAGAGCTTTCATTCAAGCACAAGCCTACCGGTGCTGAAAATTCGATGATTTCGGGGAGAGTAAGCTGGTTCTATGATTTGCAAGGAGCCAGTCTTACTATTGATACTGCTTGTTCGAGCAGTCTCGTTGCTCTTCATTTGGCAAGACAAGATCTTGCCGCAAGAGAAAGCAAAATGGTCAGTCATCCCTAATCCTGCTCTTCCATCACCACTCATTCACTATTTGTTAATTCTCTTCCGGGAGTTACCCTCCAATCGAACTTTTTTGATCTATCCCCATCTACCTTGTGCCCTCGATACTTTCAGATTCAGAAAAGTAGTTTGGGCTGACATGCAGTGTTTTATGATCGCAGGCCATCGTCAGTGGCGTGAGCGTAATGGGGTTTCTCCCTCATTTGATGTCTATGACATACTCGGGCCTCTTTGGCGCAGAGGGAAAGTCAATGGCATTTGATCAGCGCGCTGATGGATACGGATTTGGAGAAGGCGTCGGAACTGTCATCCTCAAGCCCCTTTCTGCCGCTGTGCGCGACGGCGATACCATCAGAGCCGTCATCCGCAGCACTGGCATCAATCATGATGGCCACACTCCTGGCCTCACATATCCCAGCCCAATAGCACAGGAATCATTAATTCGCAAAACCTACAAATCGGCCGGGCTGGACCTGAAAGATACTACATATGCAGAGAGCCACGGAACGGGCACACAAGCAGGCGACCTGATCGAATGTACAGCCATTGCGGCTGCATTTGATACACAAAACCGAGATTCACCATTTTACATTGGCGCCGTGAAACCCAACATCGGCCATCTCGAGGGAGCTGCTGGTATTGCCGGTGTAATCAAGTCAGTCCTACTTTTGGAATCTGGTATCATACCCCCGAATGCGACTTTGAAGGATGTCAATCCGAAGATCCCCGAGGCCTGGAATGTTCACTTTCCCAAAAAATGCATATCCTGGCCTACCTCTGGTGTACGCAGATCATCCATAAGTGCATACGGAATAAGTGGAACCAACGCACATTGCATTCTGGACGACGCATTTCATTTTCTCAAGGAACGTGATATATCTGCGCCTCATAGGACCCGACAAACCGTCCCCACACGAGAAGAGATTGAAAGTCTTCTTGCACAAGTTTCGCAAAAATACAAGGCCGAAGGTGAAGATCACAAGCAACAAAATTCCTTGACAAATGGCCACGAATCTACCACGAATGGCATCCACGTCACAGGTAACATTAATGGCATGAATGGTGTCAACGGCACAAATGGTGTCAATGGAACAAATGGCGTCAATGGCACGAATGGCATCCATGGCAAAAACGGTACCCACGGAGCCAGCGGCCCCAACGGTGTCAACGGTGTCAACGGTGCAAATGGTGCGAATGGTGTCAACGGGTTCAAACATGAGAATCAAAGCTCCAATGACCTGGTTCTTCAAAGCCGTCAAGTCCCCAAAATCTTGCTTCTCTCGGCCTTTGATGAGACAGCACTGAAGAAAGTAGTTGCAGGCGTCAGAGAGCATGTTGCAGGCTGGCCTCTACAATCTGACAATATCGCCACCCAAGCGTTGGATGACCTCGCCTTCACTCTTTCCGAAAAAAGATCTCGACTCGCCTGGAAGAGTTATGGATTGTGCGGGTCCGTACAAGAAGTTCAGGACAAGTTTTCTGAATTTCCATCAAAACCGATCAAGTCCCGGACGCCCTTGAGGATAGGATTTGTTCTCACTGGGCAGGGTGCCCAATATGCAAAGATGGGAGAGCAGTTACTCGTGTATCCGGTCTTCAGACAGTCAATGGAAGCGGCAGAGGCATATTTCCGATCTCTAGGGAGTGAGTGGTCACTGATCGAAGAGCTCCGTCGCGAATCGAAAGACTCCCGGGTATCGACATCCGCGCTGGCGCACCCTATGTCTTGTGCTGTCCAAATCGCATTACTTGACCTTTTCATCAGTTGGAACCTGATCCCCCACCGAGTCACGGGTCATTCATCCGGAGAGATTGGGGCTGCTTACCTCGCTGGTAAGATCTCACGGGAAGCAGCATGGAAAGTGAGTTACTACCGGGGTTCTGTCCATCTCCGGGGTAAGTCACATGCTGCTGGGGGTATGATTGCAGTCGGACTTGAGGAAGAGCCTTTGCTTCTTCTTCTTAAAAAGGTCCATGCGAAGCTTCCTGGGGGGACTTTGTCGATCGCATGCTTTAACAGTCCCCGTAATCACACGGTCTCTGGTGACGATGCAATGGTGGTTGCTTTGAAAGAGCTTCTCGATGAGCAAGGAATATTTGCCCGAAAATTGAAGGTGGGCCATGCTGCTCACTCTGCTCATATGGAGGCTCTCTCTGAAGACTACGAAAATTTAATGGGGATCTTACCATTAAAACGACTATTGCGTTTTGGCCATACCATACACATGTTTTCCACTCTCACCGGCCGCTTACTTGACGATACCTGTGTGCCCGAGAAGGGATCTCACTGGTGTGACAGTATCGTTGGTCCTGTGCGATTCACAGAAGCCCTTAAGTCCATGTGCTTTGATGCCACCGAAGGAGATGGCATCTCAACGCGTGGCACATGTGTTGACGTGATCTTGGAAGTGGGACCTCACCCTGCCATGCAAAGTGCAGCAAAGGATATTATCGGTTCAGCTGTTGAGATACCATACTTTGCCACTCTCACTCGAAAGGACACAGGGCTGAAGACTCTGCTTCACACGATAGGACAGCTGGCCGCCCTTGGTGCTGATGTTGACTTGGACAAAGTTAACCGAGCAACCAATCCCCTCATTGATCCTAATATGATTGTCAACTTGCCAAGCTACCCGTTCAACCATGAAGAACAAGGGCTCTACGAGAGTCGCTTGATCAAAAACACACGTCTTCGCAAGTTCCCTCGCCATGACCTGTTTGGAGCCCCCGTTGCCGACTGGAATCCCAATAGTCCACGTTGGCGACACTTCCTTCGTGTTTCTGAGAACCCGTGGCTCAAGGAGCATGTGGTAAGTTCCCCTCATATCGAATTATCAATAAATTATCTGCAAAATCTAACCCTCTCTCAGGTTGGCGCCGATTACGTATTTCCGGGCGCTGGCTACGTCGTGATGGCGTTGGAGGCCATGAAGCAGATCGCTGACCCTGCCGAGCTAATTGGTATAAATCTCCGAGACATTGTCTTCAAGTCGATGTTGGTTGTTCCGGACACAACCCAAGGCATCGAAGTCTGCCTGTCGTTCTATCCCGAGGCGGACTCTAAAACCACCATTTCAAATTCATGGAAGAGATTTGAGGTTGCCTCTTATGATCAAACTACCGAAGAATGGGTCGAGCATTGCACTGGTAAAATATCACCAGATTACAAGGATCCTGTCAATCCCATTGATACTTCTCGCCAAGAGGGTTTGGAGAAAGCCAAGTGGTTGGAATTCGTGGAAGCCAGAGAGGGCGAATGCAAGGATCCGATTGATTTTGCTCCGCTTTATGCGCATCTACGGGATATCGATATCAATCACGGCGAATCCTTCCGCAACATGTTCAACACCACAATCAGTGGCCGCGACAGTGGTTTGATGACGGGCGATATCATCGTCCCTGACATCAAGCGATGGATGCCAAAGGAGTATGCACATGACCATCTCATTCATCCGACCACTCTCGACAACGCATTCCAAGCAGCGTTCGCGGCAATCTTTGATCTAAAGGGTAAGAAAATGTTGAGTCGCGGCTGCATTCCAAGCTCGGTTCGAGAAATGTGGCTTTCCACAACGGATCTATCATCCAAGGCCAATACCACGCTGCGCTGCACATGTGAGGCTTCCCTGGCCTTCACGATAGCTTCGAAATTGATATCCAGTCGTGGGATCCTTCAAATGTCAGCGCGAAGCTGTTTTCATTGACTGGAGCGAAAATGGCCCCATTCAAGCCAGCAAGAAGTGATGAAAATCCAAGTGACGACAAGGCTTCCTACTCCATTGATTGGCACCCTGACTTGGACTTGTTGAACAACGATGACCTCCGGAAGCTCGTGCCATCTTCGTTGAACTCCACCGTTAGCTATCAGGCTCAGTTAGAATCGTTGAGTAAGCACCAACTCGCCTCGACTCTGTTGGCGACGGATGGTCTTTTGGCTATTCGAGGTCTCGATGATTCCGCATTGGAACCTCACCACAAAAAGTATCAAAATCTACTCCGGGACATTGCCGCAAACATTTCAATCGATTCGGTTCCATATGTGCCATTGGAGAAATGGTTGAAATATTCTCGCAATCCTGGCCTGAAAAGGCAGCTCTATCGCGAGGTCGAAGCCCGAACCCTTGATGGACAGTTGCTGATCAGAATGGGTTCCCAAATATCGGCCATCTTGAGGAAGGATGTCACGGCTGAACACCTTCTCTTTGGAAAGGACAATCTCTTTTATGATTGGGATGAAACCACATTGTTACAAGGTAACATTTTACCTGTACTTGACCAGTATCTCAACATCCTGCGCCGCAGCTACCGCAGCTTGCGCATCCTCGACGTTTCGGGTCGTACAGGAAATTTGGCTGAACATGTCCTCAAGACCCTCTGCCAAGCAAATGACCTATCGCCCATCGATAAATACGTTATTGGTTCCGTGTTTGATGGTGCTTGTCCACCAACGAAGGAACGCCTTGCTGCATGGAATAGCATCGTGACTTACAAAACACTTGATTTGGGAACCGACATCGTTGAGCAAGGCTTCGAACTGGACTCCTTTGACTTCATCATTGCCAACAACGTTGTTCACACCGAGCCAAACATGAAGGAAGTCTTCCAACGATTAAACTCCTTGATAGCTCCAGGGGGACGATTGCTTGTCTTCGATGAGACCCGACCGGAGTCACTTCACTCTAACATTTCTTTCGGCAGCTTGGCTGTTTGGTGGCAGGCAACTGAGTCCTTCCGAAGCAATGGGCCCTTTACCCCAAAGGACGAATACAACAGGCTTCTGCGAGAGACTGGGTTCTCAGGAACCGATTTCGACGCTTCAAGCTCTGCCTACACAGAGTTTGCTGACTACACCATGATGGCGTCCACCGCAATCAAGCAGCCGTCGCAAACCGCTGCCCCAGTTTTGGAAGTTCTCCTCATCCTTCAATCTCAGTCAGAGATGTCTCGCTTGTTCACGAAGCGGCTGATGAACGCAGGTGTAAAGTATTCAGTCTGCGAACTTGATGAGCTTGACACGGTGAGCGTTGCGGGCAAAACTTGCATCTCCTTCCTGGAGGCAAACCGGCCTATTCTGAACAATGTGGATGGTAGCACATTCTCAAAAATTCGGGACTTGCTTATTGCGTGCAGCTCATTGCTGTGGGTGATGGGCGACCCCCTGACGCAGCCAGAATTCCAAATGGCACCAGGCTTGTTACGTACCATTCGCTGGGAACAAGATCGCGAAAACTTGAACCTGGTCAGTTTATCCCTGGACGGCGAAGCGACCGCTACCGTGGAGAGCAATTCGGACGCAATTTTCCGGGTCTTCAAACATCAATTCCTTGCTGGGCCTAAGAACACCAATGCCGAGTATCGCGTTCGGAATCAAGTCGTTGAAACAAATCATCTTGTCAAGAACACAAACGCAAACACAGCGATTGATGCAAAGCTCTTGCGGCCAAAGCCAACTCTTTTCCAATGGGACCAGATTGGGCGACCTGTGCGATTGACCAGTCCTCAGCCAGGCGTCGATAGCCTTGTGTGGAACACGGATGATAATTATGTCGAACAGCCACTGGCAGAAAATGAAATTGAGGTCGATGTTCGCGCTGTTGGACTCAACTTCAAGGACCTGTTGGTGGCTATGGGAGAAATCGCCCAGCCAGGCTTTGGACACGAGGCTGCTGGTGTTGTGCGCAATGTTGGATCGTCTGTCGGTGGCTTGAAGCCTGGGGATCGAGTCATGTGTTTAGGAGATCCTTCCCCCGGTAGAATGGGCACATTGCGCACCTACAGTCGCATCCATTCGGATCTGGCGATCAAGATTCCTGAAAGTCTCAGCTTCGAAATTGCCGCAGGACTACCGGTTATCTATGGAACAGTCATCTATTCCTTAGGTCATATTGCTCGGATTCGCGCCGGTGATAAGATCCTGATCCACGCTGCCGCTGGTGGTATTGGGCAAGCTGCTATCCAATACGCAAAGGTCAAGGGAGCTGAGATCTTTGTGACTCTGTCAAGCATTACCAAGAAGAACTTCATCATGAAGACTTTCGGAATTCCTGAAAGCCACATTTTTTCCAGTCGTGACTTGAGCTTCTCGCGGGGAATTAAACATATTTCCCCCGGTGGTGTTGATATTGTTCTCAACTCGCTGAGCGGCGAGGCACTACGAGAATCGTGGGCTTGCGTCGCACCGTTCGGTCGGTTCATCGAGATTGGAAAGCTTGATCTTCAAGCTGGGTCAAAGCTTGATATGACTCCATTCCTCAACAATGTCACCTTTGCCGGGGTGGACCTGAATGCTTTGGCAGAAGAGCGCCCCGGAATATGCCAGGATATTTTGAAAGAATTGATGGAGTTGTGGTCGGCAGAAAGCGTTCGCGAAGCTCGACCCACACAATCCCTTGGTTATGGCCAACTCAAGGACGGAATGCGACTGTTGCAAACAGGAAAAGGCATGGGAAAAATCACGCTCGTTCCAGACTCGCATCCCGTGTTGGCTATGCCAGCTCCTCTCTCTCCTCTCACGCTAGACGCCAATGCATCATTCATACTAGCAGGAGGTTTGGGTGGTATCGGCCGTAGCATTGCGGTGAGGCTGGCTACAATGGGTGCAAAGCATCTGGTTTTCTTTTCACGGTCCGCAACTGTGTCTGAAGAAGGTCAGAAAACAATTGCACACCTCAAGTCTTTGGGCTGTACCAGCCATGTCTTCCAATGTGATATTTCGGACAGCGCCCGTCTTGCTGAAGTCTTCACGGAGATCAAGAACAAGTTGCCACCGGTCAAGGGATGCATACAATGCAGCTTTGTTCTCAGAGATGGGGCATTCCACGCCATGACCCACCAAGATTGGCAGACCGCACTCGCTCCCAAGGTCTCCGGATCTTGGAACCTTCACAACCTGCTGCCAGATGTGGACTTCTTCTTGATGCTGAGCTCTATTACCGGAATTGTTGGTAACCGAAGTCAAGCCAACTACAATGCAGGTAACAATTTCCAGGATGCACTTGCCCGTTATCGTGTCTCGAAGGGGATGAACGGCACCAGCGTCAACCTCGGTGCCGTTGTTGGCATTGGGTTTATTGCTGAAAATTCCGAATATGCTGGGAAACACACATTCAAGGTTGCCAACCAGCAAAACGAGGAAGAGGTGTTGACGACGGTTGAGTATCTGATCGATGGTCGTTATCACACCAACATGACAGAAAGAACCGCGCAGCTCGTATGCGGCCTACGAACTCCAGCTTCTTTCAGTATCGGCGACGAAGAGGCACCAACTCACCTTACGTACCCCATGTTCTCACAACTTCCACCAGCCATTCCTAAGTCCGGACTCGCTGCTGGAGCAGAAGTTCAGTCTGTCACCCGTGTCCGCGATCTTCTCCAAGCAGCCCCCACCCAAAGTGACGCCGCACAGATCATCATCAAGGCTATCCGGCACAAGATGGCAGACTTGCTGAATATCTCTGATGATTCGTTCGATGATTCGCTCAATGCCCGCACAAATGGAGTTGACTCGCTAATCGAAATGGAGTTCCGGACATGGTTGGGAAAGGAGTTGGGCGCCACTGTCTCCTTGAAAGATCTGGCGAAGGATTTGACACAGCTGAGTGCAAGGATCGCTTCACTGAGTTCACTCACCAACTTCGGTTGAGAACATAAGTGTTGGGGTGGTGACCTATCAGGTGACCCCCCAATGGGATACCTCGTTCTCTTTCCTTTTCTTGTTCTTCTTCCTTCTCTCTCTGTCTGCGTTTTGTGATGGCAATACAACTCTGTATCCGAAGATCCACCGCTGTATTGGAGATCCCTAAAATGAGGGGGTTCTGAATTGGGAGTAGTGTTGACGTTCCTGTGGACGCCTTATTTTTTTATACCTCTTTGTGGGGATTTTCAATCGGATGGTCGTGTCTGCTCTTTTCTTCTCTCGTCTTTTCTTTGTGTCCTTCTGTGGCTTCGCAAATATAATTTTTTGCTCTGTCGTTCTTCTTATAACAAGTACCAATGAAGGGATGTATCTATGTCTCGCATCAGGTAAATCACCGCATGCCACCAAGCCCTATAAATGAGCGCTTCCAGCCAGACTCCATTTTGCTATGAGATACGGTAGAAAATGTCGAAAATTGGCCGACAGTGAGTGCAACCGTCAGTTTCTTTTTCTCTGCCGTTCAGATAAGTCTACAACTATCAATTGGGACTGGGACAGACAGGGGACATAGAATCAGTGATGCAAGAGACAGTAAAGACACTACTCGGAGGTACGAAGATCGAAAAGTCTAGGGATCTCCACTACAACAATGGATCTTCGAATACAGAGTTGTATTGCTATCACAAAACGCAGGCAAAGAGAAAAGGAAGAAGAACAAGATAATTAAGGGGTCACCTGATAGGTCACCACCCCAACAGAAAGTAGTGAGATGTATGTGGGAGGTGTTCATCGACATCATGAAAGATACAAAAGGATTTCAGTTTTTAAGTCTAAACCCATTGGTGATGTGTAAATGTAAAATTGAAGGGAAAGCACTCGCGATTGCCGATGCACGCCGTCCACATATAATTCAAATCATGCCTTTTCGCCAGCCCAATACATATTCAAGAACTCTTTGAACTTGATAGGCTGCACCTCCGGAAAACGGTCGTTGAGCCTAATATCTTTAGGAAAATCCAGGACATCATTCACAACGAGCTTAGCCACCTGCGCAGTTATTCCTTTCTGCTCCTCAGGTGAATAGCTGGTGTCACTAGGCATAGGTGGAAGGGCAACATTACCCGAGTTGGCATTCTCAACGCTGTCGTAGGTCACTTTGAATTTCGTGCCTAATAAAGCGGAACGAGAGTGAGCCTTCCAACTTCCCGGAAAATTCATACCAATAGTACATACCTGTAACTTCTTCGGCTATCTTTACCATCTGGTTGTATGAGAGTTCATCTCCCACAAACACACTGAATTCAGGCCATTCCTCTATATCAAGGAGTTTGACCAGATAGTTGGTCATGTCGCGTAAGAGAGTCATGCAAATTATGTTGTTTCCGTCACCGGGGATGACTGCTTCACGCTTGCCGATGTTGATTCCGAAAGTGTGTGGAATCAGAGACGTGGGGACATGTGGCATGCCCCAATAGTCCATGAAAAGGCCATTCACAATACGGGTGTATTGCAGGGAGTTCATTTTGATTCGGGCTATCGAAGCGATCCATATATGCACGACAGGATCCAGATAGGGAGGACTAGCATAATAGATGATTAGCAGAAGACCCATACAGTTTGGAGGCTATGAATGGGGTTTAAAGGCCACTCAAGTGCTTACGCAGGTGGTTGAATGAAGAGAAATTCACTCGGAATGAATCTTTCTGTCTTTGTTGAAGCGCCAGCAGCATCAATCAGGTTCAGTTGGGCTTGACTTGTCTCCTCGGTGACCGCAACAATAGCTGATATGATTGTATGGACGTTGAATGCCGCCAGTGTCTCTGTCATTGAAGGGACATCATCGTAGTTGAGTTGTACAGATTGGACATTTGGTAGCAGATGGTTCGATGATGGCTTCTTATGAAATTAGCAGTAATTCTTGCACTGAAGCTAAGCACTGAATACGCCTCACACTGCGAGAAAAAGCGATAACCTGGTATTTAGGCTCTTGGGCTAGCCTCTCAACAATCGCCTTTCCAACACCTCCGGACGCACCGGCAACACCAATAACATGCATATTCAGTATCGAAGTGTCAATTTTTTTTTTTGGTTATCCCAAGGTTGTTTAAAGGATAAAGGGTAAAGGGTAAAGGAAAATGGCGTTCCATTCTGTCTTATATATATCTTATGCCAAGCCCTGGAGGTGTTCAACCATCTGGGCATTGACTAGGTTCCCCGCTTCGTTACGTCATGTATGCTGATCCCCGGGGCCATATGCATCCAGTCGTCCAGCGCAAGAAAAGGTGCCTAAGGGGGTGCCCAGCCTTCGGGCACGAATCTGCTTTCTGGGGACCTTGATCTAGATTACCATAGCACGTCGACATGCCTTCAGGCTATATAGCGTGTCGGGGTCAATGCCCCCACCCGACGAAAATCAATGCTTAATGCTCACTCTTTCTTACTCTCTCCATTTGTGTCCAAGATAATTGTATGCATACCTGCCATGAAGGGGCCACAATACGTCACCCCATCAAATCAAGGACTATGGATGATTTTTCGAAATTAGAAACCGGAAATACCGTCTAGCTGACCGCGACTTTCTTTATTATATGCTGATTAATATGTACACCAATGATATCGCGGAGAATAGCGATCACATTACCCACTTAGTCCCCAGCCTTATATGATGAACGCTTATCGCTTCAACGACGGGGTCTAATGCTAGGAATCACGATTAGTACAATTATCCTTGTCCTTTGTTTGTTACTTACAAGGAAACCCAGCCACAAGTAATTTTTTTTTTATTCTTTTTCTGTTTTTTAATCTCCCCTCTCCACCCCTTACCCCCTCCACCCCCACCCTCCCCCCGAAATCATTAACTCAAGTTTCATTGGACATTAAGCACTTCGATGAATCGAGACCACGGTCAAATTAGAACGCGAAAGCATTAGACTCAAGTTGAAGTGGCTCCGACGCAGCCGTAAATTCGCCGTTCTTAGATCGGCCAATCGCTTGTGCCCAACTCTCAAAATTATCTCTCACGACCACATGCTCCTTCTTTTGCAGGTATCTGACTGTTCCGTTGTTGTATGACATAGGGGCTTCTACGATGTTCGGGCTGAGCTGGTTATGCAGACGTGGACCAGCCAGGGCACCACTTGGAGAACGTTGCTGGTCTATTGCGTATATCACCGACTGAAGCACGGTAGAAGGAATGTGACTTCCGCCAGCGGCTCCAGTGACATAAACCACTTCACCATCACTGTCAGTAATAATTATCGGCGCAATAGATGAGAGAGGACGTTTTCCTGGTTTGATGAAGTTGTTTGGGTTTGCTAAGTAGCCTTTCTCGTTGGTGGTGTTTGGGGTGGAAAAATCTGTTATTGTTAGAATTGATCACTTGGAGAAAAGGGTTCTACTTCGTACCATCCATCTGCGAGTTCATGACAATGCCGGTGCGGGGGTCCATGATTTGGCTGCCGAAGGGAAGATTTACCGTTGTCGTGAGGGAGACGGTTAAACCTGTCTTGTCGGCTGAGACCATATGGGATGTACCCACTCTGCAAGAAAGGTTACTGCTGAGAACTTTGGAGGCCATTCTATCCAAAAGAAAAGATGATTGCAGAATGAAAAGAAAGGGTATTACATACGATTCGGGAGTCCACTTATGATCAGGGTTATACACACTCACGTTGAGGTGAGCGTGCCGATCATCGATGCCATGGAAAATGCTTTGAGTTCTCTCATGGGACAACATGACGTCCTCAAGGTCAGTGATATTTGGAACGAATCCTGGATCTCCAAAAGAGTTTCGCTAGATAAATGTCAGTACGATGAGTTCGATCTATCGAAATTGGCACATACGTAAGCATATCCAAATTTCATAGCCTCAACCATTCGATGAGTGCTAAGATCAGTCATGTTGGGCGATTTGAAGAAATCCTTGTAGTTGTCCAGAACTGAGAGAATATTTAGGACGACCGATCCACTGCTGGGAGCAACAGTGCTTGTCACGTTATACCCCCGGTATTGGATGTGTCTTGGGGTTCGTTCGATGATTTTGTAGTCGTTGAGATCCTGCATTGTCAAATTACCTCCAGCATCTTTGATGGTTTTTACCATGCTTTGAGCAATGGAACCATTGTAAAAGTCGGTCGTATTGGTTTTCGCAATGGTTCGCAGCGTTTTAGCATATCTTTCACGTTTTATCAAGTCACCCTGTTTGACGGGCTTCCCGCCAGGGGCGAAGTCTGGCATCCAGGCTGGATCCTTAAACCAGAAATTTGGCGCAGTACCATTAGGCCGCATATTCTTTTGAGTCCAGTCTATCAAAAACTGCATATCATGGCCGAATTTAAATCCTTGTTCAGCCACTTCGATCGCTGGTGCTGTGACTGTTGGCCAATTCATCGTGCCGTACTTTTTCAAGATACGATCAAGACCACGTAATTGTCCAGGTACTGCTCTTTGAGGTTGTTAGCATAATTTCTAGGTTTGTAGAATCATCCTATGCTCACGAAGCGTTGGCTCCAATCATTGAGCCCCACTCGTTGCCTACAAACATGTTTTCACTCGCAGAACCAGGTGCCTGCTCACGAAAGTCGATCATGTCGTACGTCTTGTCGGGCAACCGAATGAGGGCAAATCCACCACCATGGATACCACTGTTATACAACCCTAGAAGTTGTCAGCAGGCTTGTAAGTCAAGGTGGCTTTCGATAAGGCTCACCGACGACTCCAACGCAAAGGGCCGTAGCAACGATCTATGATTTGACAGTTAACACCGCTAAACGAGCCGAGCAATAATATTCGATTAAACTCACTGAATCAGCAGCATTTCCTCCCTTCTTTAGCATTGCAGTTCCTGCATGGCTGCATGGTTCGCTTTCCGATGACACTGCACCATTAAATCCTGTCTGGGATGTCACATTCAGATCAAAGGAGTACCCAAAGGCAAGTCGGTAGACAGCAGAACAAGTCAGGACCAAACGCAGGATATTGAGTCCCATCATCTTGGGCTAAATATT